AAGGGCGATCTTCGAGCATCCATCAGGCTCAAAGGCATGGGATGAGGAGTGCGTGCAGAGAGTTCTTCGCCTTGAGGATGTTCGAAGGGTTAGGGCAGATCAATGCGAGTATGGGCTTCAAGTGTCACCTTCAGGAGACTTGAGCAAAAAACCCACGGACTTCATGGTCAATGGAGAGAATCTTGCCAAGCGCCTTTCTCGAAGATGTCAAGGTGACCACGAACACTCCCCTCTCATGAACGGAATTGCAAAGAAAGCGCAAACATATCCACCAGGGCTGTGCGAAGCCATGGTCAAAGGTTTTCTGGAGGATGTGCAAGCAAAGGGGTCTCTTGTTTTTGCAGTTGATTTGGAAGAGGCCCTGGACCAAGAAGTCATGAGGCATGATGGTGAATCGGGAGATGCCGAAGCGCCTGAAGTGTTGAGAGGAGAAGGAGAAGAGGATGAAGATGATGTAGAGGATGACGAAGGGCTTCCCAGAGGTCTCACAGAAGGAGACAAGCGGAAAATCAAGAAACTTCATGCAAATCTTGGACATCCAAGCCAGGATAGTTTCATGAGGGCACTGCGAGTTGGCCGTGCTCGAGATGAAGTTTTGAAATACGTCAAGGAAAAGTTCAGGTGCGACATTTGCCAGGCGCATGCAATGCCCAAAGCTGCAAGGCCTTCAATGCTTCCTAGGCATTTTGAGCCAGGGAAGGTGATCGGGGTTGATGTGGTGTTCATGCCCAGCCACAATCCAAGGCTCACAATCCCGGTGCTCAACATCATTGACTGGGCTACATGTTACCAGTCACTTGAGCCGCTTGATGGAAGACTGTCTGAAACAGTGTGGAAGGGCTTCATGAGGAGCTGGGTGAGGATCTTTGGCATGCCAGAGATAGTGGTATGCGATCAGGGCAGAGAGTTCATGAGCTCCTTTTGCCGCAAGGTAAATGAGGGCGGCTCAATCGTGAGAACGATTGGAGCTCGAAGCCCATGGCAGCAAGGTCGCACTGAACGACATGGTGGACTGGCAAAGGGCATTTTGAAGAGGGTTGTGGATCAGGTGAGCCCAACAAACTACGATGAATGGGTCACATGCGTTTATGAGGTGGAGGCTGCAAAGAACAGGATGTTCAACAGAAGTGGATTTTCTCCGTCCCAGAGACAGATTGGCATGAATGTGCGGATTCCTGGAAGCCTGGGAGGGGATGACAAGTTCGATGCAGTCACACAGAGATCAACAGCCAGCGGTGACATCCAAAGACTGCTGGCTATCAAAGAAGCAGCACAGGAGGCCTTTCTGAAACACACCACATATGAAGCAGTGAAGAGAGCAAGCCAGGCTCGGTCAAGAGTGACCAGGGATTTCCATGCAGGAGAGGCCGTCTATGTCTACAGAAAACCATTGCCGCGCAAGGGCGGAGGTCAAGACGGCAGGGTTGCTCAGTGGTGTGGGCCAGGTACGGTGGTGCTTCAAGAGGGACCCAATGTTTGGATCGCTATGAGAGGTGAGATGTGGAAGTGCGCAAAGGAGCAAGTCCGTAGCGCGACACCAGAGGAGGAGGAAGCTTATGGCTTACTGAAGGATGAGTTCAAAGAGCTGCAGATGGAGCTGGGAAGGAAGGGCAGCAAACGTGCCTTCAAGGACATCTCTGGATGGGAGGTGCCCCCAAATGCAGAAGCAGAAACAAGCGAGGAGATGGAGGAAGGCAATGAGAGGCCTTCACAGAGGCCTAGGGTTCAGCTGGCACCAAGTGAGGAGGAAGATGAGTCAGGAGGAGCAAACAGCCAGGAAGGAGTCAACACCAACTCCAGCCCAGCCCACAGCAACAAGAGCTCAAGCAGTGAGGGCCAAGGTGGAGGAGACGGAGGAGCACTCAGGCAAGCGTGCCCACCAGAAATCATTGAGAGGGCAACTCAGTCCGTCATGAGGAATGAGAGATTAGATGGAAACCCCAGTCAGGGGTATGCACCCACCAAGAACAAGCTAGAGAGCATCAGGTTTGCACCATATGAAGGAGCCATGTGGTCCATTGAGGAAGACCTTGAGGAAGAAGCTCCAAAAGAAGACGAGTGGGTGTTTCATGAACAGTCCAGAAGCCTCTTGAGGGTGCATCATGCTGAGCGTCGGGGAGCATTCTTTCCCCACGACAAGTTGGGCTGTCCAATCCCTGTCAAGTTCCTTCAGACACAGGCCAATGTCTATCGGAAATTCACCGACGGCAAGCAGCATATAGAGCAGGTGAATTGGCGCAAGCAGAACGACCCAGCTGGCCCAAGGAGGTTTTGGGTTGGATTCACAGAATTCAAAGTCAAAGAGAAGGTGCCCATGTCAAAGGTGCTTGAGGTGCTTGCAGCAAACAGAGGAAGTGATGAGGTGAAGGAAAGTGACATCAAGCCTGAAGAATGGCCTATGTGGAAGGTCGCAGATGGAGAGGAATGGTCGAAGGTTGAGTCCTCAGGCGCAGTGAAGGCATTAGAGATTGAGGAGTCACAGGAGGTTGAGAAGCAGCTGAGAGAGGCTGGAAGTATACAACGAATACTTCCATCCACCATGGTACGCAGATGGAAACCAGCTGAACTTCCAGGTGAACCTGCAACCATGAAGTCGAGGTGGTGCATCAGGGGTGACAAAGACCCAGACCTGCTGTCACTCGACCGCTACTCTCCAACGGTCACCACAGCAGTGATTTCAGTGGTGCTCCAAACTGCGAGTTCCTTGGGGTTCAGAGGAGCTATTGGTGACTTGAAGAATGCCTTCATGCAGTCAGAGCCCCTAAGCCGGCCCCAAGGCCGCCTCTTTTGCCGCCAACCCAGAGGGGGCCTACCAGGCCTATCACCAGGCCAATTGATAGAGATACTGGCCGGGGCATATGGACTTGGAGATGCACCACTGCATTGGCGAAAATCCTTGCTGAAGGTCTTGAAGCAGCTGGGATACCAACAGTCAAGCATGGATCCCTGCACCTTTAGGCTGTTTGAAGAAGGAAGATTGCGAGGAATCATTGTGGTGGAGGTGGACGATCTTCTCACTCTGGGGGACGATCTTCATTTTCAGAAGATGGAAGAGCTGCAAAGGCGTTTCAAGTTTGGAAAGTTCAAGTTTTTGGAGGATGAGGAGAAGGGTGTCTCCTTCAATGGGAGGCGTATGCGAGTTCTTCCAGATGGCACGTATTTGATCGACATGCAGAAGTTTGTGGAAGAACGACTGAAGGAGGTAACTCTTGAAGTTGGAAGAGCAGGCCAGAAAGACGAGGATGCCACGGAAGAAGAAAAGGCACAAGCCAGAGCAGTGGTAGGTGCCTTGACTTGTGCAGCCAAGGAAGGCCGTCCAGACTGTGCGGCATCTGCCAGCCTCATAGCTGGAACCCTCAACAGGATGAAAGTGCAGGACATCCTGGACTTGAACAGGGCCGTGAGAGAAGCCAAGAAGACCTCAGCACTATGCCTTCGAATCCAGCCAATCAGTCCGAAGGAAATGGTGTGGGGCGTGGTCACAGATGCCTCATATGCGAATGCGAGTGGCTCAGCATCGCAAGGAGCTTTCGGAGTGGTGTGCGCTGAAGGGCAAATGCTGGCCAAGGGCTATGGGAAGATGAATCTTCTACACTGGAGATCAGGCAAGATGCACCGGGCGGTCAATTCAACGCTGGCAGCTGAGTCTCAGAGTCTTTCCAAAGGACTCAGCGAATTGGCGTGGACAATGACGGTCTACAAGGACCTCATCACTGAGAAGTTTGACCTGCGCAACTGGCAAGAATCCCTACGAGACCAACGCATAATGACGCTGGCGAAAGATGATGCCGATGAAACTCTAAAACAGAGTTTGTGCGTAGTGGATGCGAAGTCTCTGTACGACCACCTGGTCAAGGAGACTGTAGGTTGCACTGATGACAAAAGAACTGCAATTGAAATGCAGGTGATCCGCCAAGCCATGCAAGAGACTGGAACTGTAATTCGATGGGTACCACACCCACGCATGTTCATGGACTGTCTGACCAAGAGGGCAGGAAACCGCAGTTCGCTCATAGAGCTTTTGAACAGCGGACAGTACAGCTTGCATGACCATGAGGTCAATATAGATTGTTGGGAGTCTGTGAACATTGGTGAGCATTGGAATCATGTATGAACTCCTTTTGACCTCATGTCATGCATTTCATTTCCAGAGGCCGTCCTCCGCAGACTGTGCAGCTCAGGGGGCGCACTGCCATGAAAAGTTCGTTTGCTTTGCAAGCATCTTGCGAAGAGGCTTGGAGGTGAAGGTGTCTGCTCCAGCTGTTTTACAATGGGTGAAAAGTATGTGCAAGAAGAGTTTCTGGGTGCAGAGTCTCTGGGTGAAAAGTCTGTGCAAGAAGAGTTTCTGGGTGAAGAATCTCTGGGTGAAAAGTATATGGGTGAAAAGTCTGTGCAAGAAGAGTTTCTGGGTGAAGAATCTCTGGGTGAAAAGTATATGGGTAAAAAGTATATGGGTGAAAAGTATGTGCAAGAAGAGTTTCTGGGTGAAGAATCTCTGGGTGAAAAGTATATGGGTGACATGTATGTGCAAGAAGAGTTTCTGGGTGAAGAGTCTCTGGGTCAAAAGTATCTGGGTGAAAAGTATGTGCAAGAAGAGTTTCTGGGTGAAGAGTCTCTGGGTGAAAAGTCTGTGCAAGAAGAGTTTCTGGGTGAAGAATCTCTGGGTGAAAAGTATATGGGCGAAAAGTATGTGCAAGAAAAAAAATTGGGTGAAGAGTCTCTTTGTGAAAAGTATATGGGTCAAAGTCTGTGCAAGAAGAGTTTCTGGGTGAAAAATCTCTGGGTGAAAAGTATATGGGTGAAATGTATTGAAGAGTCTCTGGGTGAAAAGTATGGTGGAAAATAGGGGTAGATGGGATGCTGGCTTTCGTTCCCCCCTTCTCAGGTATTATGTTTTATTATGTTTTATTATGTGTTCATAATGAACAACTTTGTTAAACATCATGTTAAACAACTGTGAAAAAACACTAATGATCCTCTTCTCGCAAGCTCAGTTCCAGGAGTGTTGGCCACCGGGATCATGGCAGTGAATGCCATCATCTATGGAAACCCCACTGGAGCTGTATCCGGTGATCAGACACTCGGCCGCGACTTGAAGTCCAGGTTTGGGGTCCAGGTATGGTAAGATATGGATGGTTTCGAATGGAAAATCCCATCGAAAAGAAATCCCATCTACAAATGGATGATGACTAGAATGGCTAGATGAAACCTCCATATTCGGCTAAACCCTCCATATTCCTTGACTTCCTTGATTCATGACCGAAAAGCTTGGCTAAAAGGCCAACTTTCGCCGCTGCCGCGCCAGGTTCATCGCCAGTGGAGTACTTTCTGCCTTAGTGGTGATGGTCTCAGGCGATCCAAGATTTTCTGACGGATTTTTTCGGAGTCGGATACCTGGTTTCGATATATTTTTTTTTTATGTGGATTCCCAGCTGTTTTCATCATAATCGATATATATATATATGTATATATATATATATGTATATGTATATATATATATATGTATATATATATATATATGTATATACATATATATATATATATGTATAGTATAATTGATGATTATTCACTTGATCATATTTGAATTTTGTTATCATAATCTATACACTTGATATATGAATCGCTATACAGATTTTGAATCAATATGAATAACCCCCCCTGCGTTGTTCTCGAATTCCGACAGCCGAGATTGAAGACAACAGGACAACAGGACAACAGGAGGGAACTTCTAAGAGGTTTCCTTGACGTTTTTCTTCTGTCTCCGAGAAATGGAGACATTGGTTGGACATTGGTTGGACCATGTTGGACCGTACCAAATTAATACCAAGGCCTTTCCACTCTTCTGTGCGGTGACCTTCATGTTTCAGACGCGGCCAACACCTGCACGGGACTCAGCGGCCAAGTTGCGCCAAAGCTGGGGTGGGACGCGCCATTGCGCCGCCATTGCGGATGTGGCACCAAGGCCAAAAAGAGATTGGTCAAGCCGGCGCCTGAAATGAACCATTAAAAAACAGTGGTTAATAGTCATTATCCACTAAAATTGATGATGGTTTATAATGGTTTACTATAGTTACTACAAGCATCATCAAATGACAGGGACCGGGACCAGATGCCAATCAGCTCAGCTGATCAGATCTGAGGCGCTCTGCCAATGCAGACCAGATGGAGACCATTGCCAAGGCAATTCTTTTCGAGTCACAAATCCCACAGAGGGTTGGAAAGCCATCTATATACCCTCTGGTTATTTAACATAGCCATGGAAAATCACCATTTTTAATAGGTAAACCATCTATTTCTATGGGCCATTTTCCATGGCTATGTTAAATAACCAGAGGGTATATATATATATAGATCACAACTATGATATACGAATTGTGAAGGACAATAAACTATCATAAGTCAGCAATAAACTATCATCATATCATTCATAATCAACTATAATAATCATAACAATGATAATGATGATAATAAGAATAAAAACAATCATTTAGTGATTTTGATGAGCGATGGAAAGCCGATGACGCCGCGTCTCAACGCCAGGTGCGGCACGAGATCGAGGCGAAGAGTTCCTTGGCACCGCCACCCGGCCAGCGGCCTCAGTCAGCCGACATGGCCCACATGGCCGACATGTGACCGTGTCGTTTCCATGTTATTTCCGTGGTTTTTCTCTGCTGTGAGACATGCAACTGATAATGCAATGTATTGCACATGTTGTACATTGTCAGGTTGCGCTGTCAATCATCGATTTTCACTTCTTGTTTCCTAGCAAATGTTTAGGATGTTTAGGGACTTTGCCATACCAAATATCAGATAATTACCGTTTTTAGGTCCCGGAGCAAATCTGAACCTACAACTGAATTCCTTCAAATTGCCATAGGCTTGAAGGAATGTTCCCACAGGGTTCCCAAATGCATCCCAATGTGAGTTTTCTGAAGTTCCTGAGGGCACGATCGCAAGAACATCTGAAGTGGATGTTTTTTTCCATGCCAAAAAAAGGTCCCCAACCCCCACTGTAAGGCTTTCAAAGACAACGTTCTCGAACGGTTCGAACATAGAATGCTTGGAGCTTCGTGAAGATCGAGCCTTCCCCGAAATGTGTCCAAATCCATCAGGTATTTTTGGTTACCAGAGGTTACCAAGGTTCCCGGGTTCCCAACAAAGCACAGACGTCATTCTTTGCCGCCCTTGGGCATATTTTGGGCTTGTTGAATGTTCAGCTGAACACAAAATTCGTATGTTCCATCTCAAACAAATCCGAACACATGATGTTGAAACTATCAACATCTTTAAACATTTTTAAACCATTTTCTAATCGAGGTTATTTGAACCTGCCAGCGCTGCCTCCCGCTCCAAGCAATGTGGTCGGAGGAGTGCCAAAAACATAGATTTCATGGAGTGCCGGGTGCCGAAACTTGAGAATGACTTCAGATGACAGACTTCAGGTGACTTGAGATGTTGAAAATCTGGTTGAAAGACTTGGAAGACCTCCTTCGACCTCCTTCGCTGTTTTTTTTTTGAGCCAGGAACAACCTTGCTTTCGCTGCCGCCACCAATGCAGCTTGGTGAAATCTTCAGACATCTTCAGACCATCAGCGTCGAAGGAACTTATTCTTGACCAAAACTAAGCCATGGTATTGTGGATCTATGTGGATCTATTAAAATCTATTACATAGATAGCCATGATATTCTACATAGCTTATTATTTTAGCTTATTTTGGTCATTTTGTGATTTTCGGTGTCGTTTGGACTGTCTTGTCCACGTGACGGATCCAAGGATGGCTTTGCCCGCGCCACAAGGAGCAATGGGTTCCTTGGCTCAGAAATAGAGACATCAGGCATGGAGGAATAACCAGGAATATGTACTATCTGGTTATTTAAGTGCCAGTTCGCCATGGAAAATCATCACCATGCTATTACAGTAATAGGTAAACCATGCTATTTCGATTAGAGCCATCTATATATACCATGGCGAGCCCTGTGAATGTCATAGCCGTCATAGCCAGACATTAGTGGCCACTGCCATAGCTGGAGGTCAGTTTGGCTTGCCGGCTCCAGCAGCTCGTTTGCCAATGTCCGAAGCTCATCATGCTTGACATATCTTGACATAGAATAACAATAGAATCATCATCTGAGATTCTGCCCCCAAATTTGGCCCAGAGTCTTTCTATGTCTATGGGATTCTATGGGTTTTTTCAGTGACACACATGGTGACCATTGGTGACCCGCCGAATCTCGCTCTCGCCGAAGCTTCCAAGGGCTCTACCTGGCTTGCCAGGGATGCCTGGTGCAATGCCTGCCATGGGCATGCCTGGCATGCCTGGCATGCCCGGCTTACCAGCGCTTCCGGGCTTGCCACCTTTGCCCACCTTAAAGGCTCCGTGGAGTCATCTAGACATATGCAGCATATGCAGCATATGCAGCATATGCAGCATATGCAGCATAGTACTTTATGATATTTTATAATTACTTTTGGACGATGTTTACATCACTTCCTGTAGATTGTTTGCAGCTTGAAGTATCCAAACACTTGCAACATGACCGTTTCAACACGGAATAACGTTGGGTTTTGACATATACATTGGTTTCACTTCTTCAACATGTCTCCCTCATGCTTGGCCCTCCATCAACATAACAATGGAACATCATCCATTTAGTTCGTTGATTTTCTCATTCTCCTTTTTAAAAACCTCCATGAATATCCCATAAGTATAAATCATCATAAATCATCATAAATCATCATAAATCATCATAAATCATCATAAATCATCATAAATCATCATAAATCATCATAAATCATCATAAATCATCATAAATCATCATAAATCATCATAAATCATCATAAATCATCATAAATCCACATAAATCCACTATAAATCCACTATAAATCCACCATGAGTTCACCATAAATCCGCCATGAGTTCATCCCATTTTGGGAGCAAATCCGAACGATGAAATCCTGGGAGAATCAGCCCATCTGGGCCGAAAAACAGGCCGCCAATCCGGCCCTGGGATCGCTGCCACCGCCACCGAAATACCCGCAGCCGCCGCTGAAGACGCAATGGTGGTTAAACGGGATCAATGGCTGGGTGGCGGAACATCGGATTTTTACGAAATCAGTTGAGAATAGAACTGGCTGGTGGTGACTGGAACCATGGACTTTTATATACTTTTATGACTTTCCATTCAGTTGGGAATGGAATAATCATCCCAACTGACGAACTCATTTTTTTCAGAGGGGTTGAAACCACCAACCAGATAATTTATAATGTAACATAATGTAATAGAAGTGATATATATATAAGCTTAATTAGTAAGTTTCAAATACATGAAGGGCAGTTTAGACATGTTTAGCTGAGAAGTGTGAAAGAACAAGAGTATTTTGGATGTTCGATAGCAACATTTTGGCAACTCAGGCGTGCTCGCAGCAACAGTGCGGGGCCAGCTGGAGCACCCGGTGTGAAGACTTTGTGAGACATCCCCAACTGCCCAGGGATGGCCAGTTTCCAATGAGTTTCCAATGAGTTTCCAATGAGTTTGCATCTTTTTGCACTGCCTTGTGACATCTTGTGACGTTTCTTCATTTTCAGAGTTGTTTCGCTGAGGCTGCCTTGACTGCACCACCACCACCAGGGGGCCGAACCATGTGAGGGTCTCAGCGGCCACGGTGCAACAGTGAACCGCTTGGGTCTCCCATCATCGTCTCCAGTCGTGGAGTTTCTCCAGGTCGAATCCTTCCATCCAGGGAATCCAGGGTGCCTTGCGTGCAGCTGGAGAAGGCGATGAAGATCCGCTGTGCCTTACCTATGGCATCCAAAAAAGCATCCAAAAAAGCCATGCATAATTCAACAATATTCAACATGTGTTTGACTGTCCAACATACATTGTTGCATTTCCAAGATCTTTTAGATCTTTCATGATCTTTCTATATTAATATCCTTCAAATTTCATCTTCATCCATGGCACGGCACGGTGCCAGGTTCAGCACTTCCACCACCACCGAGCGGCACGTTGCCAGATTACCAGGCGATGCCAGCGATGCCAGGAGTCATCACAGAAGCCGCTCACCAGGTGGCGCCCAGCGGTGTGGATAGAGTCAGGATAAGCACTGGAGCCAACTGCGCCAATAGTGATCGTAATTGAGGAATGATCACTGAGTTCAATTAGTATCAATTAGTCCCATCGCTATTTATGCGATATAGTACTATCCCAAGATCGAAACACAATTAGCCATTTTTTAAACCCATATTTGAGGCTTTTGGGAACTTCAATCGGAACTTCTGCATCTTTTCGGTGCTTCTTTCAATTTCTGTGGCACCGGAATTCAGGCGCCATACGTGGATGATGTCACCGATGAGGCTGAAGAGGCCATGAGAAATACCTGCAGCCCTGGTGTGACACAAAGTGATAATTTGTGATATAGGTTACTGGTTATATACTATGATGATCTATGATATACAAAGCCCTGGTTACATAAATTTACATGATGATGATGATGATGATGATGATGATGTAAGATGATATACTAATGATATTCATTATGATATGCATTGATATACTCTATACAATGAGTTTCGGAGAGTTTTTGTCGCGGTGCGACATGGTGATTTCTTTGAGGCCGCAGGGACAAGGCGAGTAGCTGTCGAGGCTGAGTGCGGAGGCCAAGATTATCCAAGACATTGGGATTCGAATAAAGATAGGATACCCTCTGGTAAATCAACATAGACCCTGAAAATCACCAATTTATAGTGGAAACTAGTCTTCCAACCCCTGTCTGCCAGGGTCTATGTTGATTTACTGGAGGGTAACTATGGATAACTGATATTTCAATGGATCGAGCCGTTGAGTCGCAGTCTGTTTCAACTGAGGCATGGCATGGCACCGGGAAACCCGCCGCCATTGCCACCTTTGAGTGGGCCCCCACCGCCACCCAAGGGAGCCAACCGCACACCAACAGGTAGGGCATGGTTTGGTATGGCAAAATAGCACACACGCACGGAGAAATATGATTCTATAATATGTGAATAATATATGTGTATATAATAATATGTGTGTATGATTGTATGCCATATAAGAATATACATATATCAATATATATATATACATAAATATCATATATATATATATCTGTTTACTTGTGAAATTCGATACACAAATTGTTGGGGTATGGCATGGCATGCGGTGCCACTTCCTGTTGTGAAGTTGTGCGGCCGCAGGTGGCATGACACCTACTGGAGGCATGACGCCGCAAAGTCGTACACCCGTGGGGCCGGGAACTTTGGTCGACAATTATTTTTTTTGGTTATTTTCTGCAGAAACACCAAAACATTGCAGAACTTCACTATGCTCCGTATATCTCCCCATGATCTCCGCATCTTCTTCGATGATCTTCGATGATCTTCGAGGTCGGCCCACAACACTCCTCGAACACCGCCTCCCATGTCGGCAAGCACACCGGGCTCCGCCTATCTGCCACCGGCCGGGCTCATGCGATGGAACGATCATCCGAATTGGTGCAAGTATGTGCAAGTCATGTTTTTTGATTGAAATTGTCATATAGATAATATGGTGTCATTCATCTGTGCTGTGTTGCTTTCACGGAGGCACTGAGTTTGCATCAGAATTTCATCTTTTTTTTCCACCCTTGCTCCTGTCAGCTGTCACTTCTGTTTCCTTTGGTTGAGTTCATAGAATTGGCACTTCTGTAAGTAGCTACTTACGCTGCAAAAGTGCTCTATTGCCATTCCATTGCCATTCCATTGCCATTCGGTGCAAAGCAGTGGAACTACGAAAGAGCCAAGTGGATCGCAGTGGAAGGCCATACCGAAGGATATGCCGATGATGCCAGCAGCGCCACAGGGTGTCACTCGGGGTGTTGTTTGGATGCCCAGCACAGGATTCCCATGGAAAGCTTCCCGAGTCGTTGCTGAGTCGTTGTTGAGTCGTTGTGAAAGAATCCCAAATTGAAACCATCAAAAACTCAAAAACTTCGGATTCCCATAGGATTTTTTCAGGACTATCTTTCGATCTCATTCGAGGTGCACAGAGGAGATGCTCCGGGCTTCATTCCCGTTCCTTTCAAAGGGTTTCTCGGCTGATGTCTGATGCTGTCTGATGCTGTCTGATGCTGTCTGATGCTGTCTGATGCTGTCTGATGCTGTCTGATGGTGTCTGATGTACTTGTGCATCCCCTTGAATCTGTCATTACCAGCATTCTTTTCTTGAAAACATGTGATCTAAATCAAAAAAATGTTTCCCAAGTTCAATGTTGCTCTCTGCAATGCGCAGAGTGAAGGAAAACTGTGACATATAGGTGATGCCTCAACAAAAAAAGTGAATATATATATATATATATGTATATACACATACATATTTCTATCTTTCATATACATACATTTTTCTATCCACATGTATAAATATAATTAAATATATATATATGTATAATATGTGTATATCATATGTATATCTAATATGTAAACATATAAAAGTCCTGGATCTACAGATTTACCGCGGCGACCTTGAGGCCACCGCCCAAAGGTCCTTCAGGCGGAATGCCGCCATTGTCACGAGCTCGGCACGGCCGGGACGGCCGGGACGGGTTTGCACAAGCCCCAGTCCCGACACATCCTGAGGCCTGGAAAGGTGCGACCGGGTCAAACCGTTGATGTACTGAAAGTCAATGCGATGTATGTGATGTATGTGATGTGTGTGATGGCGAAATGTAATATCTGAAGAGTTTAAGTGAAACGGATGAAGTTCGCAGATTGTCGACATTTTGCACAGCACATCCAGGCTGGCGCGAAGGGCGTCCAGCACTGAGTCAAGCACCGCACCGTCCGTCGCCAAGTGGGCAGGTCTCGTCGTTCCAAGGTGCCAGCACCGCCACCGCCTCCACCACCGCCTCCCAGGGAAGATGATCCGACCTTTGTTCTCAGCTCAAGCTCCTATCATTTCCAAACCATTTAAGTACCATTTAAGTACCATTTAAGTACCATTTTTAAGCTCATATCTATATAATTCTATATATATCTATCAACACTGATATCATTTTTAAATCATTTGGGTCATTTGTTTATTTTGTTTCGCTGTTTCGTGTTTGTCACAAGATGCTACAGGTCCGGCGGGTGAGGCTTGCTTACATCGATCGGGCGGCGAAATCGCATGCGTAGGGGACACCCAGCGGGAAATGCGTTGTGCCAGATGTGCCAGTGAAAGTTGACCAGCTGATACCAGGTGTAACTTTTGAAGCTCCAGCAGAAAATTGGCAGATACGTCATGAAACTTCATGGCTACAGTGCCTTTCATGTACCAAGCGGTGTCAAAAAGGTCACTGAGGTGAAGTATGGCCCTTATGGCCCTTGTGCATCCGCAGTGTTATAGTGGATGCCTAGGCAAGTCCTGCAAGAGGAGGGACAGGCGCAGATCCGTCGTCTTGCTTTTTACTGAGGCATTCCCAAGAATTGGAAACCGAGAAACGTTGTTTTCCCATGTTTTCCCTGGAAAATGAGTATCTCGTCATCAGAATCCCAGGCCCACCAGATGCGTCATACGCATTGCCAGGATGTTGGCTGGGTAGCGCCAGAGTGGGTGTATCAAGTGACTTTGATGTCGCCCTACATCGTGCGGGAACCCATGGGAAGCCACGGGGAACCCATAAAGGAACCCAGGGGGGACCCATGGGGGAACCAACGGCAACCGAGTCAGCTTGCACCACTTGCGGTGAAAAGTTTCTGAGGCATCCAGTGCTTCCATTGCATGTCAAGTGGTCTTCAATCTCGCATACAGCACCAAGTTCCAAAGAGTGGAGGAGACGTCACAATGGATCATGACGAGTCATGATTTGTCACGGCCCGGTGCCGGTAAGACTGGAACCTTCCGGCGCCATCATCATGATCATCATGATCATCATGACTTTTATCATCACAATTCTTACCATTATAAAGGTCATCATGATGATTATTCTATCATTATTATCTATTATTATAAAGGTCACCATTGTTATAATCATGAACATGAATGGTAATTATTATCATTATTATCTATGATTATGATTATCTATTATTATCATGATTAATATTATCATCATGATGTTCCTATGATGTTCCTATGTTGAAACTTTGGCCTGACATGGCCTGACCCTTTCCTGTTGCTATTGCCAGGAGCAGCACTGGTTGTACGCATGCATCCTCGGCATTTGCATAGCATTGCTCGTGCTCGAGGCCGCCAGAGACCATGACCTGTGTTTCACAGCCGGTACACCACAGCATATCACAGCATTGCAAGCTATTTAGAAACATTTAGAAACATTTAGAAACACATTGCAAGCTAAAGCTTCTAAGAAGTCTATTTGTTGAAAAGCTTTCACCGCTTCGGCGCATTCATCTATCTGATCTGCTATGCACTGCTTTCGTTGCGCGTTAGAATTGTTTGCAGGTCGTCAGAAGTGCTGTCACCACTGTGGTGGAGCTCCGCAAGCACGGAACCCAAGAAACGGCAGACACTGGGTTTTTGACTTCCGGGATGTACCAGTAGAATGGCATGAAAAGATGAAGAAAAAGATGAGATAAGATGATAAGAGATGGATAGAGATAAAATTTGTCTCTGCAGATTCAAGGCCAAGGCACCGATTTCGAGCAATTTGCCAAGTTTTCTCGGCGAGCGTTTCGACTCTCCTTCGGAATCCTTCGGAACTATCCTTGTAGGTTATTCCCCCCCTGGATTCCAGGCACAGACCTTGAAGTTTACTTCGAAACTGACCTGTTAATTGTCATACTTGGTAAACGTTTACAGTTTGCTATTGAAAATGGCCCAGTCGAAATCGTGGATTTACCCATTAAACATAGGTGGATTTTCCAATAGTTATGGAAAATCGATGAAAATCGCCAGTTTTTAATGGGAAAACTCACCATTTTACCATATTTTACCCATTAAAAGTGGTGGATCTTTCCACCCACCCGTTTCGTCACCCGGGAAACCACCTGGCGTTGAGGTTCGAGATTCGGCGACGCCTGGTGGGTGGTGACTTCCTGAAGAGCAAGATCCGGAAGGAAAGGGCCCAGGGCGGAGCAACGCTAGGGACGAGTCGCCCGTGCGCAACGTTTTGAATATGGAAATACACACACACAATATATATATATATTGTATATATATATATATTGTATATATATATATTGTATATATATATATATATTGTATATATATATATTGTATATATATATATATGAATGACATACATGAAATGATCCAAGAATGATCCATCCCAAAATGGTCCATTTTGACACAGCGTTTGTTGGGAGTTTGGGAGTCCGCAATTCCAAGTGCCGTTCGGTGCACGGCACCGTGGCCAGAACGACGTGGGACTTCAGGGTCGCAAGCCACCGGCGAAGAAGCCGGCGGTGCCACTGGCGCCTCCAAAGCTGCGGCCCTAGGAATGCATGTGCTGACACTTAGAGACACTTAGAGAAGCTGAGAGATACTTAAATTATACAAAGAGTTTGTATTTTACTTATTTTTCAAAAAAAAAATATACACCCGAATATGATATCGAGTTTGGTGCTTGTGCGAGTTGGTGCTTGTTGCGCCGCAATGATGCTGAAGCAAAACAGGACCATTTTGGAACGAGTCTGTGATGAGGAACCCTCCAAAGACAGCACCGCCGCCGCCACCGTTGGGGCTCAGCTGGGCTACGGGGACGCAGAGACAGTTAACCGATATATTCACATGAATTAACAGATACTTGTATGATATTTTAATATATGACAATATGTAAATATTATGTATATATATTACATATATTATATACATATATTGATACATAATAGCTTATATATTATACATATATATATATTATATTATAGTATACTATATTATATATAGTGTATCATATTATATTGTATTATATTATATTATATTATGTTATGTTATGTTCTGTTATATCATCTTATCTTATCTTATCTTATATTATATTATATTATATATCATATATGATGATAAGAAATGATATATTTTAAATGATATATTATAAATGATATATCATATATTTTTATATTACATATTACATATTAAATATTATATATATATCATATATATGATATATAATATATGATATATATAATATATGATATATATAATATATTATATATAATATATAATATATTATATATGATTTATAATATATTATATATTATATATGATATATAATATATAATATATTATATATGATTTATAATATATTATATATTATATATGATATATAATATATAATATATTGTATATGATTGATATATATATATACATAATTCTATATATAATATAACTTATATTATATATTATTATTTATTTATTAAATATTATATATTATGTATTTTATATAATAAATATTACATAATATATTATTCTTTATATTTTATATATTATAAGAATTTATCTTATATATTATATATTACATATATATATATATATTATTTATTATACATATATATATTATTGTTAAAATATATATATATATTTATATTATATATTGTACATTATATATTATATATTATATATTACATATTATATATTATATATTGTATATTGTATATTATATATTTTACATTATACATAAATTATATTTTGTATATGATACATCATAGATCATATCTATATATAATATATCAAATAGTATGATATAATATAATATAATATGATATAATATAATATAATATTACATTATATACTGTACACAAAACCAAAAAACATGTGATTCGGTGGCCACGTTTAAAAACAGGTCGGCGAAGCCTCCGGTGGCCCGACCAGCGTTCCTTCCAAAGGAAGGGCCGCCCGGTCTGCCTGGTGCCAAAGGAGCTGCAGGCGTCCCATCGTTCCGAACGGCGCTGGCCTCAGTCCGTGAGTCTGGTTGAACAACTGGTTGGTAATATACTTTATAAAAACCAGACTTACAGAATATATCATTTATATGTAAAACTTTATAAATTACTAATACAACCAGTAATATTGGTCTGGTTTACATATATTACTTAATATTACTTTAATAATAATGGTTAATATATGGTATTTTACAAATGGTAATGGCAATTTCCCAATATACTTACAGATGGTATTTTTTTTACAGATGGTAAGGATGGTAATATACTTTATATAAAAAACTGTATATGGTAATTTCCCAATATACTTACCATATACTTACCATATACTGTACTAATAATTACCAATATCCCAATAGCAGCTTATAGTATATCCGGAAGTAAGAACATGTAAGATGCAAGAAGATGCCTGACTGGAGAGAGTAGAGACATGTACGTGGCTTCGAAGGGGTTGGAGGGGCTTTCACCTCGCATCCCAGGCGGGTGGCACGAATTTGCCCATGACAGGGCCCCCGCCACCTCCGCCGCTGCCGCCAGGGGTGAAGGCACCATGTTTGAAACATGTTGGAAACATGTTTGAAGCATCTCCAAATTGGGACATTGCAGACACCGAGCTCGATCCTTCGCTCTTTGGGAAACCCATTGAAGATAGCCGTTTCAGTGTCTCTGATTTTGATGTTGGGGTCTTCAACGTCTGTGGTTGTGATCTATTGCTGAACATGTTTCTGCAAGTGCGAGAGCGTGAGTTTGTGGAACATCGTGACGACCTGCCGAGAGTCGACTCTCATTCCTTTCAGGCCTTGGGTCAGTCCCCAGCGGTGTCGCGCACGCCCTCCGTGGGTCCCAGCGCGGTTTGGCATCCCAGTTGCACCGGACAAAAGACAAGTCATAGACCCTATAGGCAGTCTATAGGCCCTATATAGGCCCCTTTTGTAGGCCCTTTTTGTAGGCCCAAAAAAGGAATTCTGTGTGGACGCCGAGGTGCCATCGCAGGTGCCTTCGGGGCCGCCCAGTGCGGTTCCATCGGCACGCGGATCGGCACGGGGCAAATGAGGTGCGCAGAAGCGTTGGAAATGCCAAATTCAACTCCGAAATGTTTGGCGACGCATTCCATGAAATGGCAACACGTGGAATTTCAACGAAATTCTCTGGCATATGCCATATGCATTATTTCGCTTTCGCATATTGGTAAGTTTTTTTCAAGTTTTTTTTACAAGTTTTGAGTTGTTTTGAGCCCTTTTGACGGACACACAACTTGGGTTGTTGCGTGGCGCTGCATTGGCCAGGACTTCATGGTGAGACAAGGGGGCACCATGGCACACCATGGCACCATGAATGTCGCGCCAGTTTGAAAACTTTGAAAAGGATGCGTTCCAGGGATTAGCAGGGGGCCTCTCAGGTGTTGTAGTTCACACCATGATCCGGTATGTGCACGTTCTCGTGCGATGTATGCATCTAGCTCAAAGAAACTGACAGAATTACTTCACATTTGTCAGCTATGTCAGCTATGCAGACGCGCGCAAAAATACCAGTGTGTGATGGATACTGTCCCCGATATCTGCGGATATCTGGTAGATCCTGGTAGTGTTTTTGCTGCAGCCAACAGCTTCAACTCCTTGCCGTAGTGCTAGGTCTGCTAGGTTCTAGATCTCAGCCATGAGGTGCATCTGGTGACTAAGCATCGAAAGAGGTCAAAAGCATCATTTCTTAGCAAAAGATGCAGTCACGAAGAGGTTACGATGTTGACCTTCTTGATGCTTTTTGAGAGATTTTTTGACAATTTTTTGACCATTTCTGATCCCCTCCGTTTGACGACTCGGTCTGAGCTGTGTCTAAGGATCGCTTCAGCCCTGGCGGTCACGGCGGTCACTGCAGCCCCCGATGGCCGGGGAGGTGGAGATCCGGTTCCCGAGGATGCGGAGATGCTGCAAAATAATATTCAAACAGAATCAAACAGAATATTCTCAGAATAGATCATAAAATATCTAAAATATCATAAAATATCTAAATCAAACAGAATCAAACAGAATAGTTTGATGTTTTGAATTTCAACTTTGATTTCAAATTTCAACAGAAGCAGAGAAACCGTGCCATCACATCGCGTCGCTGGATTCCAGTCTAGGTCTAGTCATTCTCTAGTTTCAAGCTGTTTCAGGCTTAGTTTTTCAGCAGCCACAGGAGGAGCGTGAGGAGAATGCGAAGCGCATCCCATGTCCGTTCCTCGCAGGCGTCGATTGAGATGAGCTTGTCAGAGTATCAGGCGGTGAGGCCTGTACAATATTCGTTGAGCATGTTGAGCTTTGAAGCTGGACCCTGATACCATGTTTTACCATTTTTACCAAGTGTTTTTCGCCGAGAATAGGACATTTTGCCAGGATTGTCAGGAATTCACAGCTGAATTTTAGGCTTTTTTTGTTTAGGCTATGATGTGCCATGGTGCCATGGGACTCCCATGGGACGCAGGATTGTATTCAGAAGGCATCCTGAAACCGGATGAATTTGGCCGAGTCAACTCGCAACACCTCAAGGAGGCGATGGTCGAAGTTGGATCCACCGTGCCCAATGCCTCGGTCCAAGGGCGAGGGCAGAAGTGGTAAAATCAGGTGACATTTGCACTGCAAAAGCATATCTGAAAGCAATTAAAAAACAATTCAAAGATCATTAAATACAATCATGAAAGAAGAATAACTAATAACAACTAATATTAACTAATAACTGATATTAACTAAGAATAACTAATCAAAGGAAGTTTAGGGGGAGAAACTTCCGTGTTACGGACTTTTAGAATGTCAGGGAAAGAGTTAGTCAAAGAAAGAGTTAGTGAGGGAAAGAGTTAGTCAAAGAAAGAGTTAGCAAAGAAAAGTTAGCAAAGAAACAGTTAGTCAGGGAAAGAGTTAATCAAAGAAAGAGTTAGTGAGGGAAAGAGTTAGTCAAAGAAAGAGTTAGCAAAGAAACAGTTAGTCAGGGAAAGAGTTAATCAAAGAAAGAGTTAGCAAAGAAAGAGTTCGTCAGGGAAAGAGTCAGTTAGTCAAACCAAGAGTTAGTCAGGGAAAGAGTTAGTCAAAGAAAGAGTTAGTGAGGGAAAGAGTTAGCAAAGAAAGAGTTCGTCAGGGAAAGAGTTAGTCAAACCAAGAGTTAGTGAGGGAAAGAGTTAGTGAGGGAAAGAGTTAGCAAAGAAAGAGTTCGTCAGGGAAAGAGTCAGTTAGTCAAACCAAGAGTTAGTGAGGGAAAGAGTTAGTCAAAGAAAGAGTTAGTGAGGGAAAGAGTTAGTCAAAGAAAGAGTTAGAGAAGAAACAGTTAGTCAGGGAAAGAGTTTGTCAAAGAAAGAGTTAGTGAGGGAAAGACTTAGTCACAGAAAGAGTTAGCAAAGAAAGAGTTCGTCAGGGAAAGAGTTAGTCAAAGAAAGAGTTAGTCAAAGAAAGAGTTAGTGAGGGAAAGAGTCAGTCAAAGAAAGAGTTTGCAAAGAAACAAGTTAGTCAAAGAAAGAGTTAGTGAGGAAAAGAGTTAGTTACAGAAAGAGTTAGCAAAGAAATTGTTCCCCTCACTGTAAATGGCATTGCAAGTGGTGCTGGTGGAGGAGTTGCCGATGGAGTTTTGGAGGAAGTCTCGCACGAAATGCGTTTTTGAGAGATAGCAGATGCACGAAACCCTATGTTTTTCCATACAAAGTGCGTCCCCGAACCTCGATGATCTACCTCTGCGGTGCGACGGGTGCGAGACGGTCTCGTGTGTGGTCGGATCATGGGCGGATCATGGGCGGATCATGGGCGGATCATGGTCGGATCGGTTCCGCATTGTAAATGGGGTTTCAACTGTTTTTCGTGCACGTGTGGTCGACAGAATTCCATTGTGATTTGCAACTGTAGGATCGTTCCCGCATTGTAAATGGGGTTGCAAGTGGTGCTGGTGGATGAGTTGCCGATGGAATTCCATTGTGATTTGCAACTCTAGGATCGTTCCCTCACTGTAAATGGGATTGCAAGTGGTGCTGGTGGAGGAGTTGCCGATGGAGTTTTGAAGGAAGTCTCGCACGAAATGCGTTTTTGAGAGATAGCAGATGCACGAAAGCCTATGTTTTTCCATACAAAGTGCGTCCCCGAACGTCGATGATCTACCTCTGCCGTGCGACGGGTGCGAGACGGTCTCGTGTGTGGTCGGATCATGGGCGGATCATGTTCGGATCGGTTCCGCATTGTAAATGGGGTGTCAACTGTTTTTCGTGCATGTGTGGTCGACAGAATTCCATTGTGATTTGCAACTGTAGGATCGTTTCCGCATTGTAAATGGGGTTGCAAGTGGTGCTGGTGGATGAGTTGCTGATGGAATTCCATTGTGATTTGCAACTCTAGGATCGTTCCCTCACTGTAAATGGGATTGCAAGTGGTGCTGGTGGAGGAGTTGCCGATGGAGTTTTGGAGGAAGTCTCCCACGAAATGCGTTTTTGAGAGATAGCAGATGCACGAAAGCCTATGTTTTTCCATACAAAGTCCGTCCCCGAACCTCGATGATCTACCTCTGCCGTGCGACGGGTGCGAGACGGTCTCGTGTGTGGTCGGATCATGGGCGGATCATGTTCGGATCGGTTCCGCATTGTAAATTGGGTTGCAACTGTTTTTCGTGCATGTGCGGTCGACAGAATTCCATTGTGATTTGCAACTGTAGGATCGTTCCCGCAATGTAAATGGGATTGCAAGTGGTGCTGGTGGATGAGTTGCCGATGGAATTCCTTTGTGATTTGCAACTCTAGGATCGTTCCCGCAATGTAAATGGGATTGCAAGTGTTGCTGGTGGATGAGTTGCCGATGGAATTCCATTGTGCTTTGCAACTGTAGGATCGTTCCCGCAGTGTAAATGGCTGTGTCAAGGTTGCTTCGTGCTGTGGCTGCATTGGTAATACTATTGTCTTTTGCAGCTGGACTTCGTAAATCGTATTGGAGTGGCTGCATGAAGGCTGCGACAGTGATTTGTCAGCAGATTTTCTCCATTTTGGCGCTAGTGATTTTCCGTCTAAAAATCCTTTTAAAAAGTGCTTCAAAATCGTCTTTTTTTCGCTCTGGCGTCGAGATCCGGTTTTGGAGCTACAATTTCCGACGCCGTTGCGCGTAGTTCTATTGTGTTTTGCAACTCAGTCTCTGCAGATCGCATTGTAATGGCTGCGTCAAGGTTGCTTCGTGCTGTGGCTGCATTTGTCATACTATTGTCTTTTGCAGCTCGACTTCGTAAATCGTATTGGAGTGGCTGCATGAAGGCTGCCACAGTGATTTGTCAGCAGATTTTCTCCATTTTGGCGCTAGTGATTTTCCTTCTAAAAATCCTTTTAAAAAGTGCTTCAAAATCGTCTTTTTTTCGCTCTGGCGTCGAGATCCGGTTTTGGAGCTACAATTTCCGACGCCGTTGCGCGTAGTTCTATTGTGTTTTGCAACTCAGTCTCTGCAGATCGCATTGTAATGGCTGCGTCAAGGTTGCTTCGTGCTGTGGCTGCATTCGTAATACTATTGTCTTTTGCAGCTCGACTTCGTAAATCGTATTGGAGTGGCTGCATGAAGGCTGCCACAGTGATTTGTCAGCAGATTTTCTCCATTTTGTCGCATTAGTGTTTTTTTGTTCCACGTAGGTTTAGAGCAGTGTGAAGTGTGGGGCGTAAAGAGTGCAGTGTGAAGTGTGAAGTGTGAAGGAAGCAGTGGGAAGTGAGAAGTGTGAAGTGTGGAGTGTGAAGTGTGCAGTGTGGAGTGTGAAGTTTAAGTTTGGAGGTGCGAAGAGCGCAGTGTGAAGTGTGAAGTGTGAAGTGTGAGGTTTGGAGTGTGAAGGAAGCAGTGAGAAGTGAGAAGTGTGGAGTGTGAAGTGTGAAGTGTGGAGTGTGAAGTTTGAAGTTTGGAGTGCGAAGAGTGCAGTGTGCAGTGTGAGGTGTGGAGTGTCGAGGGCGGGACACGGTCGGGACAGGTTGTCTTTGAACTATAGGTCATTTATGTTTGGGAAACTTCCGCCGCCGGCTTGCCCGGGTCTATGTTATTAACTAATAATAGCTAATAATTTACTAATAATAGTGTATGTCAGCCGTTCGAGTTCCAGACGTTTTTTGTTTGGCAGTTTTTGGGATGCCGTGGATGTCGTGGACCTTTGCTGGCTTTGAGCTGAGGCCGTTTTCCCCTCCTTTGGCACTGTTCGCTTCAAAGAGGAGGAGTATCAGGGAGATTCGGCACAAATTTTGCAAGATAAAAAACTGGCGATACAAGCGCACACCATGGCACACCACTCTCAATATTCTCACATAGCAAATGGTGTGCCATGGAACTCTCACCAGTTCACATCCTGCAAATCTTAATGTGTTACCGCGATTGGCTGCTTTCATCTCTGCTTCGAAGGACATTCATCAGACAGAGAGGCATTGGGACTATGGATTGGTTCCTTGGATCACACGTTGCACCTCGTTGCACCTTGATCTCTTTATATCGCAAGAAATGTTGCCGGACCTGCCGGATGATTACAACGATACTTTGTTTTTTCTTTTGTGACAGCCGATTTGAAAAACCAAGCAGTGTGCCAAAACCTGTGGATCCTGTGGCTGAGGTCCCCAGCGGTTTTCTCGACCAAATCGGCTTGCCCGAGGAGAATCATATAAATGGCATTAAATGACCATGAAAATCATGGGAGGTGACGACAAACCATGAAATTTGATCAAATTTAGAGCTACCCTGTTTTCGGACAAGCTCATATATGTTTGAAGATTCTTAAGTAATTCTCGAATGCGTAGCAAGGGTTCCCGTTTCACTCTGGGGGTCTGGGGGTGGAGTCGATTTTGAAGTAGAAATTTTTCAGGTTCAAAAGAAAACTCGCAGGAAAACGTCGATTTTGAAGCTACACAGTGTGAAAATTGGAGGAAGTCTCGCACGAAATGCTCGTTTTGATGCTCCAACGTGTCTCGTCTCGAGTCTCTGGTTTTCTTCTGGCCTCGCCGTGTCTATGGATTCTATGGGGGAAGTTGCAATTCCTATACTATTTCACAGTGTCAAAGCGAGTTGTAATGTGGTTTTGCGTGGCAGGTGTGGCACTTGGTGATATTCTCATGTGTCTGCAAACGTGTCGAAAGTCATTTTGTGTGGCAGGCGCAATGCTTTTGCGTCGTTTCAAGAAGATGAGTTGCATTTCTCGTGGCAGGCGCAGCACTTTGGAGACTTCATCCACCCAGATTGTGTGACTAGATGAGGTCAGGAAACTTTCTTCCACTCCACACTTTACACTCCACACTTTACATTCCACACTTTACACTTCACACCCCACACTTTGCAAATTACACTTTACACTTGACACTCTGCACTACACTTTACACTCGGCACTTAACACTCCACACTTTACACTCCACACTTTACACTTCACACTCCACATTCCCAACTCCACACTCCAAACTCTACACTCCACACTCTACAGTCCACACCCCACACTTTACACTCCACACCCCACACTTTACACTTATTTACTGTACACTTTACACTCCACACTTTACACTCCACACTTTACACCCCACACTTAACACTTAACAGTTTACACTGCACTCTGCACTCTACACTCCACACTCCACACTTTACACTCCGCACTCCACACTTTGCACTCCACCCTCTTCCACATTCCACAGTGTCTACATTGCATTGGTACGGTAGCAGGGTGAAAATGCACAAGACTGTTCCAATAATTTGTTTCACAGGTGTGTTCTACGTGGTTGCATTCGGGTTCGTGGGCTGCATCTTGTTTTTTGGCATTGTTTCGCGCTGTAATAATGGTGACTTGCAGTGCCATGGGCATAAGCGGCCCTGTATGAACCCTGATCCAAAATGCCTATCCATTTTTGGCTAGTCACGTCGCGGCTGCGACACAGACAGCATGTTCCAATTTCAAAGGTATTGGCGGGGACCACAAAAGACTTACTTGGTGCGCAAGGGAATTCTGCGTAAACGCAATTTGGTCTACAAACCTTTGGGGTAGATACCCTAGCCCAAGGTACTCAAGGTGTGAAAGGGCATTCGGTGCAAAAAATCCTATGTGTGTAGTGTGTTGTGCAAGATATTAATTGTGTAGAAAGATGGTGTTGAAGATTCTGGCGTTGGAAAAATACATGCCTGGTAGGGAAGTGTCGGGCAAAAAAAAAATTGAGAGCAAAATGCAATGCGAAAAAATCTATTGGCAAAAAAACTTGCAGTACGTTGTGCAGAATGTAGCCCCAAGAGGCTCCCTTTTTACAACTTAAGCATACACGTTGCGCCGAACTCCACTGGGGAGCAGCTATCGAGGGGCAGATTTTTTGATTTCACCTTAGTCTTTGAGGCAGTGTGGAAAACTGTGGAAATGCGGCGCGTAGTGCTTCTCCTCAAAAACTACACAGTTTCTTGAGCCTATTCACGTGTTTTTGGGCACATGCTGTCATGCCTCAGCGAATTCGGTGTGAGCGAATTTGAAAAGTGCACAAAGAAACATTGCCGTGCCTGAAATTCACTTGCTTTCAGATGCCTTGAGGATTTGTCCAACCTGTGGCTGAATATTATGACAATGACGCTTCGCAGCATTGTGCAAACTTACAATCTGTCTGAGCGTGATGCAATAGCTTCGAATACACACCCCACATTGACTTCAATGTTGGAAGGAAGGTTCCAACAATGTCCCAAGCGGTGCAAGCTGTGCAAGCGCCAACGAGGAATGTTCCTGACAAGTGTGTGGATGCAGCGGGCCATGCTGAAGTGTTCCTCGTCAAGATGTGCACTGCGAGGAGTTTTGCAGATTTTTGCAGATGTTTAGATGTATTATGATGTGTTAGATGTTCAGGATATACTTTTTGGATTTGATTTGTTTTGAGATGTTTAGTCACTTAAAGTTCTCCAAAGTTCCTAACATCACATCAAAGCTCTGCAACTTCCAAGGCCAAGCAAATTCCCATGCAATGCCAACCCGCAGCATGTGCAGCACGGCTACTCCACCACCATCCGCGATCCAAGGTGCCGCATGGATTTACCTCGCCACATGGTACTTTTTCGTGGGGGGAAATTATGGAAATTGTGAACCGGTGGATTTCGGGATAGCCTCTTTTCAGACAAAGCCATGGAATTCATGACCGATCCTGTTTGCCAGGTATGATTCGGAAGATCCTACACGTGAGAAGCGGTTCAAGGAGATTGCATTCCGATGGCAATGTTCCAACATTTTTGAGGTCGCAAGAAAATCCAAAAACAAAACAATAAAACATCAAAATAAGGCAAATAATTTGAAGATTCTGAAAGACGGTTTTAGAAACAGGAACAAATCTGATCAATTCATTTTGGACTTTGGAAGTCTTCCTCTATTTCTGGTGTCTGTGGTGCAGGATTGGATTGAGCCAACCTTGGTGGTGAACAAGAGCCTGTCGGATGAGAAGGCAAAGTGCGTCCAAAAGGTCAGAAACAGCACTGGACCAAATATATAATATACATATATAGTAGACATATATAATATACATTTATTTATATAATGATGATAATGATGTCGACAATGTTGACGTCATTGTACATATATGTTTGATTGATATTTCCTGTCACCATCCTGAGAAATTGCGAAGTGTTTGGAGGTCATGACATTCGATGGCTTCGTCGCGTTGTTGGCCCGCGTGGCAGTGGAGGGCGACCTCTCTGGGGAATGGTCATTGAAACCCAACCTGGAGTTCCCCAGCGAGAGACCGCGACATTTTGATTTGAGTTTTGGGATTCGGATGGATAGAATTTCTCATATTTCTACCTCTCTGATGTACGTGGAGAAAAACGTGATTCTCTCCTGTTTATTTTATGTTTGGCTGTTTGGCTGTATTACTTTTGGCAAGAGCTCAAGTTTGCTTAGGCCAATATGTGCAATCGTCCATCAGAGAAAAAGGGGCATGATTGATTATCGACAGCACAGTCGTCACATGATTGAAACTCTTCACTGTGTGGGAAACAGTGTGCACTGGCGGCCTTATAAAACTCCTTGTCGGCATCAAATCAAAATCAAACTGTGAAACTCTGTGGCCATTTGTTGAGCATACAGAGATTCCGGCAACACAGTGGCTGCATTCGCCATGAAGAAAACATATCCAAACTATACTGTGTGGTTATGCAAAAAACCTCAGAGTTGTGATGCTTTGTTATGATGCCATTGAGGTATGAAGGCAGCAACTTGCAGCACTATCATCCCCATGTCCAGCCGCCCAACGCCCCTCGGCTGAATACGGAATGATTCCCTTCCGTAATCCTCAACAGTTCCAGAACTGAAAAGGTTTGACGGGGATGCTTTTCCAACGGAGCATTCAAACAAAATCTAGCCCAAGAACCTTGAGCACTCCAGCCCTCAAGTCTTTTCAATGTGTGAGCCAAGTGACAGTGTGATCAGTGTTGTGATGCGTCATATTGTTATATTGTGCTATGTCTCATGGTGACTATATTGTAATGGTGACATTTGCAAATTGCCGCAATAGTTGCCAGGCTTCCGTACGAACAGCACGAGTCCACAACATCCAGTGATTCAGTCGTATACAGTATATATAGCCTCGTCCCAGGTCCTAGAACTGCGCAAACCCGAATTAGGTTGGTAAAACTTGTCAATTCCGTGACGAAATTTCGTCGCGGAATTGACAAGTTTCATTAGGGTCATCATCATCATCATCATCATCATCATCATCACCATCATCATCATCATCACATCATCATCACCACCACCACCACCATCATCATCATCATCATCACCACCATCACCATCACCATCACCATCATCATCATCATCATCATCATCGTCGTCATCGTCATCGTCATCGTCATCGTCATCATCATCATCATCAACATCATCATCATGATCATCATCATCATGATCATCATCATGATCATCATCATCATCATCATCATCATCATCATCATCACATCGTCATCGTCACCATCATCATCATCACCATCATCATCATCATCATCATCAGCATCAGCATTAGTATCATCATCATCTGCAAATTCACATGAACGTTAACATCCCACCCCATCCCCCCCACCCCACCCCGCGTGTGCGTACAATCAACTGCTTCTGCAACTTCACATGAACGTTAACATCCCACCCCATCCCCCCCACTCCACCCCGCGTGTGCGTAGCATCAACTGCTTCTGCAAGTTCACATGAACGTTAAAATCCCACCCCATCCCCCCACCCCATCGTATGTAGTTCCAGGACCTGGGACGAGCCTATATATACATATTTGTATATATATACATAAAAATATACCTCTCCACATATATATATATATGTATATCCACATGTCACATCCATGGTATTCGTGAACATGTGGTCCAAATATGCACTCAATGCACTACTCAATGCACTACTCAATGCACTACGTCTTGCTAGCTAATTATTTTGCACACGTTGCAACAGTGACGTCGTGACAAGGCCTACGCTCTGTACCACTGGACAGCGTGGCTTGCCTGGGTGGGTCTCTGGGAGGCCTAGCTGTTGCGCGTTGGGAACGCCTTGGGAACGCCTTGGGAACGTCGTGAGAGATTGGCATCAATTGTCATCCATTGGCATGTGCTGCATCAGAAAACGCATGGTGTTCGGCGTCATACCCCCTGTCTCATACATCTCATCACAGTGCCATTTTGTTCTCATCTCTAAACCTTGCAGCGGTCTGTGGCACTCGGTCAGGCCTATGGTTATCCTTATCCAGACAACTCTGGTGCCAAGTTCATGACGGAGAGTCGCTTGCTTGCAGTGCTCGCAGTGCTGGCAGGGCAGGCGCACAAAGGCATGGGACTTGTATGACTAGGACTTGTAGGACTTGTAGGACTTGTCAGGTGAGGAAGATCTGGCGGTCAATTGCCTAATTTTCGCTTGTTTGTATTTTTTGTATTGTTTCCTTACGGAGTCAGTCCATTCGAGTTTCAGGTAAAAGTCCGGACAAGTTGTCAAATTTGTCAAGGTTTCATATGGTTTCATCACATTTACAGTTTTCCAGGTTTTCCACATCGTTTTCTGCGTATCTGCAGTTCTGGTGCTTAGGTGACCTTCGTCGTTTCATGCTGGAGGGAAAGCTGCCCAAGAATTGGAAGAAGAAAACCTTCACACTGAAAGATGCTTCTTGATGTCTTTAGGATTCATTTCTGCAGTGCCGGTGACACCAGGATGTTGGAATTGAATGGAATTGAACTTCAGCACGGGAAGTTTCTGCTGTTTCCCACAACTTTTGGATTCGACAAAGGTCGGATACACCATGATCGCCTTGGAAGGGCGCGCATGGGGTGAGAGAGAGTGGGCTTGGCTTCACATTGAAATCCCAAAGTCTAACGTCAGTTTGTTTTATTCTTCAATAACCTCCATTGAACCTGCTTTGTGGAGCAATCTCCAGAAAGGCATTGCTGGACGGAAATTTATCATGATAACACTCGGGGTGCCAGCTATGACATATGGAGATAACGATCCATGTGGTAATGGCTGAGGGTAGACATGTGTATGTGTGCATTCAGGCAGGAGACCATGCATGTATACACGTATACACACGTATACACACGTGTACACACGTCTACACACGTATACACACACATATATATATTATATATATATATATATACAGAATACATCGACAGTCACCGAGATGACCGACGTGTCCATTCCGCATCGTCATGGTGGGTCTTCACAATGCGCTGCTGAGCGGCTAGGCATGACATCCCTGGCGGAGACCTCTATGCTCGTGCCACTTAGCGGGCAGACATGCTGCAATGCAACGAAGACAATAGAAATACGATGAATTACGTAAACTTTCACAATGCCATATTTTAGGATCTCCAGGGGATCTACCGCCGATCCCGTACGAGAGTCGATCTCCCATTGAAGATTTCCATAGTACATAGATGTACATAGATAGTATACCTTGTGTCAAGTTGTGCCAGGTTGAAACAGCCAGAAACATTCCGAAACGTTTCCGAAATCTCCGAGGCTTTGAAGGAGCGCTTCCCGCTGTCGTCGCTGTTGCCGGTGCGACAAGTGGCAGCTGTGGCAGCTGTGGGAGTGGGTAGTTTTTGGGTGTACACCGAAGTACACCAGAATCAGCATCAGAATCATCAGAGTATAGCGTTTTTCCAAGGCCATCTCTGTGTTGAAGGACAGACATCCGAAGAGTTGCTGGATGGGTTCTTGAATTCTCCAAGTGCAACGCTTCCCAGCAGCATGTTTAAAACATTTCAATTCGGAACCCATCGAGGTTTTCAGATACGACGTCAAAAGCTGCGATCATCCAATGCTCCTAAAAGAGGGTTTCCTCTTTTATACGACCACGACACACGAGTACATCTGCCGTCTCTTAGCCTTTTCTTTGAGCAATTTTGAGCAATGTGCTCCCAGGGGGCAGCCTCTGAGTGGAGGCACGGGCGCTGGAAAGCTGGGCTATGCTGGGCTATGGGCTCGTTCTCGGAATCTCCGTGGAATCTCCGTGGAATCTCCGTGGTGTCTTTGTTTTTGTTACTTCACTGGGTTCCGGGATCCGGGATGCTCCGGGATCCAGTGTGGAGGTTCCGTACGTTAGGAAAAAGGAAAATTCCTTCCCCATCACCTGTTGCTCCGGGGAAGCACATAGACAGCTGCTAATGGTGGTTTCTGCACATGCTGAAAATTCAGGTGGTTTATTCCTTCCTTCAGGGTTTTTCCAAAAGCAAAAAATTGAGATTCTCTCAGCCTATCTTGTTTTGAGCTGAGTGGTTCTTGACAAGGCAAGAATGGAAATTCTGCAGGTACATGTCAAACTACGCGGCAACCGAGCGCAGTCTGGGTTTCTTTGAGGACGTGCCATGTATATTTGCCAGCCATTGTCGCTGACGCTCGTGTTCGATAGTGTTCGTATTTGATTCGTCTCCTCTGTCGCTTCCCAGTGTTGATTCCCTGTGGTTGGAGCTCCAACTCCAATAGTTAGGTTGACCAGTACCTTCGACAATGTAACCAGCGACACACTGGACAAGTGCCAAGATGTGTCAAGCGCAAGAAAGGCATGGTATCTAGATCAGACTAGTCTCTGGCTTGGAGATTTGGTCATTACATTTTTCATTCTGGTATGCGAGATTGGACTTTTGCTTTCTGAACACTTACCTGGTTTGTTTGAAGCTCCCAAATTTTGTGTTTCCCAAAGTGCGTTCCTTTTGCACACCTTGAGCAGTGCATGTTGCCGTTTCACCCTGCGCAGGATAACATCGTCAATCCCATGCCCAAGGCCAATCGAGCAGTTGTGGTGTAAAGGTAGGCTGGCAGAGCACAGCTCTCTGGCGGAGATGAGGTTCTTTTTGCCGACCAAAGCCACAGCTCCTGAAAGGAGAGTGGTCGAAGTTTGGTCAAAGCCCTTGATTATTTTGCATTATTTGCATCGGCAGCTTCCAGCATCTTCTCATGCAAAATTCAGATCCTCTGCCCCACCACTTGAGAGGTTTATATGGACAGGGGGCTCAAAAATGCATGTCAAACCCATTGATCTCGTCAGCTGAAGCGATGCACCAACATTCACATGGTCCCTCACTCGGCACTGTGCGAGGAAAATCAGGCAGTCAGGCGTGCAGGCGTATCTGCGTACCGATTTGTACCTATGCCAAAAGTGTTTTCAGATCAGGCACAAACACTACCAACTGAAGAGGCTGTGATCAAAATTTGGCAGCAAGTGCCATGCTGGCCTCGCAGTGGTGCAGCGAGATCTAAGGGTTGTTTCGGGCACATACATGTCAAGTCTGTCTAGTTGACATGAGGTGAGTTGCATGTGAGGTTGACATAGATTGACATGAGGTTGATGTTGCACTGTGAAAAACCTCGCCGCGCCAGCTGGTTCCGGCTCATGTTTCGGATACTGAACCTTCTTCCATAAACCTGGCCCTTGAAAACCCCCAGGCGTGCCGGGTCTTGGTTGCCGCTGGTGAACCATGGTGAACCATGGTGAACCGAGGATTGAAAGAGGATTCAAAAAGAGGATGGAAAGACTGTGACAGACTGGATGCATTTTGGATCCTGTGAGGTTAGAAACTGCCTGGAGAATTACGTTTTTTTGAGTGAATCTTGTTAGCATTTTGATGACAATCCGTTGCATTCCCAGATTTAAGGACTAGCGACATTGATTGACAACACGCCCAAAGACTTTTCTACATGTCCCGTCAGATGAACACATCCGACCATGGTCCAATGGTTGAGTGATGTCATGCACCATGGCCACCTTGAGCAGGGCCTTGAGAGAAGACGAGACAGGACAGCGTGGATCGTGGGATCGTGGATAGAATGCTCAAAGCATCAGGATTTTTCGACAAGAGGAAAAGGGATTGCCCATTTTGTCACCATTATATATATATAATATATATATATATATATTATAATCTATAGTGTATATATATATATATGTCACCATTCTCAAAAGGTGATGATACGATCATTTTGCCATTTGAAAAATACTTCATTGCCAAGGAGCCGGCCATTTGCAAGTCCTCTCGAATCTCATCCAATCTCATTAGCCTTGGTTGACCAAGGCTCCATTATCCATGACCGGCAAGGAGCTTGCTGCGGGAGCTTTGTCATGTGGTTGTGACTTGGTAGAAAATGCAAAGTTGAACGCCAAAGATTCAGGGGCTGAGCGTGAGAAGACTCAGACAATTCAGCGGCCCGCCCGTCTTTCGATTTGTTTTTTGCCTTGGTGTCATTCTGGTTGTAACACTGGACTTTCGACCTGACTTGCCTTCTTGCAAGTGCATGACTTTCTTGAAAGCTGTCAGAAGACCAGGAAGTAAAGGAATATTGAATATTCAAGTTCTGTTTGTAGCCAAATGCTCCCGACCCAGGCTGACCATTGGAACAGTGGTGGTTTCGGCATCTTCATTGCAGGCATGGAATAGTTTCTGTCTGCTGAAGATTGCAACTATAAGTTAATAAGTATTATGATGTCATCACATCGTCATCGTCGTCGTCATCGTCATCATCATCATCATCATCATGATCATGTCACACCAGGTCACATCCCCAGGTGTTTATCCCAGTTGTTTCCACGTGTTCGACACTGTTGTGCTCAGGTGGAGGGCCGCGAGAGGCGTGGCACATGGACTCTGCATGCGGCATGCGTCCTTGATGTCCTGCAATCGCACCTTCCAGGCTACTGCATCCAGTCAGAATCTGAGAACATCGGGGCACTGCGACACAAACGCATCACATCTGTCATGAACATGCCGATGTGATATCGGTTGTCGGCTCAGGATGTCGCTCTTACAGATGAGCTCCAAGGCTCCAAAGTCCGATGCGACGCCACAAGCTTCGGTGTACGATGTGTGCACTGTGTGCATTATTAGAAGGATGAATTCGGATGAATTCGGATGTGTTGATCATTGACCCTGTCAAACCCCTCCCAAGCCACACCTGTCAGCTTTGTGTGCTTGCAGGATCCATTGCAGCTGCATTGCAAACCATTGCAGATGTAGTGCCCTCAGCTTTGCTATTATCATTGCCCCGTGTTGAAAGATATCATAAGATATCAGATGTTATGCAGCATACATACTAGGCAGAAACGTATTTGAAAAGGTAAAATTACTTACATGCTTGCAATTACTTGGCTAATTATTTGATTGATGGATTGATTAATTACATAAATGCATGCATGCATCAATGCGTGATGCACACATGCATACATCCATGCATCCATCCATGCATCCATCCATGCATCCATCCACCCACCCATCCATACCTACCAACCTACCTATCTAGCTACTCACCTACCTACATACATTGATAGGGGCTTTACCGTGATGTAGCCATTTTGCCATTCAAAAGTTGCCAGGATCAGAAGCTTGTCGAATCAGACCGCGCGGTCCGGGAAGTCCAGGAAGTGCATCGACTTTCTCACCGCTTTCAGGTTGCCAAAAAAAAACATGAAAAAAGGTATTCACAGTATTCACGTTATCGATCGTTATCGTTGTTTTTCTCTGTCGTTTTGATATGTTTTGATCCTCTAAGGTTTTCATGCAGGATGGTATGACCATCACAAAGACCAATTCGACCAAGGTGCGACAGTGGAGCGGGCCATTCACGACAGTCATGGGTTCATCGAACGTGTTTCTCGCACCACGCAGGTGTCACACTATGTTGCGGCGTGTTTAAGAGACACATGTCTAGGACATCTCAACCCATTTTAACACATTTACATGTATATCGTATATCATGTATATCATGTATTATTTACATGGTTTTAGCCACAGTCACTATAGGTGCAGTCTGACGTGACTCGGCATTCTGCCTGGGAGCTGGTGGCCGAGGAGTCAGACATCTCTCTGATTTTGTCATTTCGTCGAATTAGCCCAACACTTTGGCATTTTCGCATTTTCTATTCGAGTGATTTAAGCCCTGTCCTGCAAGTCTTCTGAAAGCTTCGTTTCCAGACGTTCGAATTCAAATGTTGAGACATTGTCGAAGTATGCAATGCGTGACAGGAGCTTCGCACACGACTCGTGTGAAATATGTCGATTGAAATAATTGAAATCTGACTTCGGATCACTTCGCATCGAATTGCCACATTTCGATGCATTTCGATGCATTTCGATGCATTTCGCGTTTCGAATCGCAGGACTTGGTGCAGAAGAGATTCGGCAACTCCTCGGCGGCGAAAGGTCTGGAAGCCCTGCTGGGCGAGGCACGAGCCGCGGAGGCGCCGCGCCACCGGCCACCGCCGGCCACGCAACGACGCAACGACGCAACTCATCTGGCGCTAAGATCCTCTAAGATGCCATTGATGCCATTGATGCCATTGTCATCCATTGTGCACATCTGTCAATACTGAGATACTGAATGATACTGCACTTCTGTGTAAAAAGTCGCTAGACGACTTTTGGATTCAGTCCGGTTTCAGTCCAGTTTCAGCCGGAGGTCTCCATGACGGACTGGCAACAGCTGGCCTTGGCCATTGCTGCTCTAACGTGCAGATCCTCAGTCGCTGGTGCAGAACACTGCTCTAGCTCCAGTGACAGCCAGTGACAGCCTGAATCAAAGCATGGCAAGAAGATAGGAGTTGCTCAACCTAAGCAGAATGTCGTTTCTGATTGTTTGTCAAGGGAGAGACCGTTGAATTGGCTTTCATGACTTGCTTTCATACATTTCATACCTTATGCCGCGCTTCAGACAGGTTCCATGAGTAAATGACGCCGCGCCTGTCACATGATCCCGGGCTCATGGCGTTAGCATATTGTCAGATTTGTCAGTGGACGCACCAACAAACAAATCGGAACTAAGTTTGTGTTCCAGGTTTATTTACGCGTGGGGTTTCAAACATTGATTTGGTGGTTGTTTGGTGTTTTCTGCTATGGGGATATTCCAATGTTTTTCTTTTTGAACCCAGTGAAACCGACCGAGTTTACCCCCTGAGTTTTGCCCGTTTTAGCTGTAGGTTGACCCGCCGTTTTGCCACAGGTTAACCAAGTTACGGACCAACTTAACTCCCCTGGTGGTTTCAAATGTTTCTATTTTCATCTATTTTCCCCATTCAAAATGGGATGGGTTTCTCCCCAATGACGGCATGTAATGCTGCATGTTCTATTTTTTTTCGAAGGTTGTTACACCACAAAAACCGTCGTAACTTCTTTGGGGCCGACCGGCTTGCCATGAGTCGCGACGCCACATGTGCCGCTCGAGGCTGGAGACTTCCCATTCGATTCGGTTTGGGGATCCTTACCTGGGATTCAAACTTTAGATGATTTGGGACACCACCATTTTATGAAACCACTATAAATCGTTATGGCAACCAAAAATCGGGCAACCTTTTTGGACCCCACCATGGTGATCCTCATCTCGAGGATTTGCCTGTATTTCGTTTTTTTTTCCCCAACAGCATAAGCTAATGGGGTCTTGAGCCCAGAATAGCTCCGTGTGCACTGCCCCAATCCACAAACAGTGACTTTGGACCAGAACACAGGAATGCAGATGCAAGACAGGTTGCCACACACATGCACACACACACAAAACTCGCTATAGTTGAAAATGTGTTTTCGACAAAAAAACAGCTTTCAGTTGGATGGAATTTGATGGAATTTCGGATCGTTTTCATTTTAACCTCCAAGCCTTCAACCTCTACTTGATATTCCCTTTGGTCATTGGCCCCAATCGACCCTCAGACCATCTCAGACCCATCGTCGACCGAAAAATGCCATGTGGACCGACAGCGAGATGCGCAGCCGACGCCTCAACGCAAATGGTTGCGTTTTTCATGATCAACAGCGGCAGGAAACCTTTTGGCAGCCCGGCATTGTTTTTGACATGTTGTAAGCCACCTTATTTTCTCCTGGTTGTTCTATGCCCACTTACGTCCTTAGGTGGAAAAACACGTGTTTCCGTGCAGCAAACTCAAATGATGTCGAATCATCTGAGACCCAAATTTGCATCACTGCCGTTTGCAAACCAAATTTTCGGCTCGAAGATCTGGCATTACCGTATATTCGCCTTACTTTTTGCATCACCGTGCCTGTGCTAATGCTAATGGCGCTGGCTGCGTTAGTGATTGTGGGAATGGTCGTGGCAGCGGCAGGTGGAAGCTGTCGGGCGGATGACAATGTCTTGATGCAGATGAACCAAGACCGACGAGGCCGACGTGGCCGACCTGGCCGACGAACATCGATGAACCCATTGACAAAACACGGGGCTGTCGGTGTCACGGGCTGACCATTTCTCCAGTTTTCCGCTTTTCCAAGGGCGATGATTTGATGGGAAAATTATGGGAAAATTTGCGAAAAAGCAAACACCGTCACCAACACTGACCTTGATTCAAAACATCAGCTTTTCAGCAGTTGGAGGGACGCCAGCGAGAAAACCCAGCCACGGCATGATCATGGCAGGTGATTCTACATGGCTGGTTGACTATTTTTGTTTCTCCAGTCGTTGGGACCTATGATCTAAACTGGGGTTATACCGCCGGACTGGAACTTAGAATGTCGGCCCAGTTTTCCAAAATTTTGTGGTTTGAACTTAGAATGCCAGCCAAATGGGGTATCTTAGAATGCCGGCACATGTGACATTCTAAGTTCCAGTCATGGGTGAGAAAACCACAGTATTTCCCCATATTTGAGGCCAAAACATGTCACAAACAGTTTATAGACTGATCAGAAATATATCCCAAAGCATTCCAAGTTCCTAGTTCAACCCCCTCATGCATGATACGTATTGCCTGGGGCAACCATGTTTACCCATCTGAAGGGTTTTATCAAAACCTTAAAAATATCCAAAAAGCTTTGAAAGCACCGGGCGCCGAATCTCTGAACAACAGGGCAAAAACCCCTGAAATGTCTGCATCAAAAGGTATCCAAAAGAACAAGTGAAGCATGTCAAAATAGAAAAGGACCTGACGCGCATTCTAAGTTAACATCTGCAAGAGCCATTTATCGAAAAAATACAGTCAAAAAGTTGCGGAGCACATATTTCTATATTTTGCCGCTACTTTTTCCAGCGGGTACGGTTCCAAAATGGCATTCTAAGTTTCGGTCCGTCACTATAAAATATTCTACTATACTAGGGGTATGGACTATTTTTGATCATGATTTGAATCACAACTGGGGTATGCCACGTATCTGTGAAACAACCGTCATTTTCGGATGGAACAAAGTGACAAATTTGGCGTGGACCTATTGGTAGACACTGTTGAGCCATACCCCTTTTTCCGTTTCGAGATGCTGTCCCATGGTGAACTTGGGCCACCCGATGATGAAACCCAGGGACCTAGTTTAGCGCCAAGTTGAAGTCTTCATGTTCCATGGCAGTTCCAACTGGTGGACCACTGGTTAACCCCAGGCATCCCATGACTTCACGGCAGGACTGCTGGCGACAACGACGGCGACAACGCCGGCAGCCTGCGCGATAGAGCCGTTTCCGTGCGACAATCCGAGCTTTGCCAACTTCCCCATGCAGGTGATCAACCACGAGCGCCACGGTGAAAACATGGGTGAGAAGCCAGTTATACCATGTTATATCCATCTGATGGACCTTGATGCTTTGAAATCATCGATATTTCAACGTTCCCATGAAAACGCGCAGGTCGTAATTTGCCCATAATTTGCCATAGCGCTTGACAGATTTTGACATTGCCATGAGGACCCCGAAAAAAGCGACCTTCAATGTGCTCGACCTCAATACCGGTACCTACACCGAGATTTGTGAGGTCTCAGGTGAGAAATTGAAACGTGGCTGATTCATTCCGCTGGTCTTTGGTGATTTAGCGGAGCTGTATGGAACTGTTGCTTCATCCTTGTTTCATGTTGCTGGACTGAATGCAGAAATTACTTACGAAGCAAGCACCGTGGCTGTGTATTCAAGTGTTTTTTTTGTGTGTGTAACATCTAAATAGATGTAAAACTTCTCTCTTTTTCTTCCTTCTGTCCTCTCCCTTTCTAATCTAAATACTAATGCAGGGGGTGCCAGGGATGCACACTGGACTGGCACCAACGAAGACGCCAGTGTGTCATCTGTGATATCGATGGGGACGCTCATCGACGTACCTGCTTTTTTTTTGCATGTTACAGGATTCAGTTCCTGCCGGATCACTACAATGATCAATTCTTATCTAGTGTGAGTCCTATGGTGACTCCGACATGGTGCCATAGGGCCAATTGAGGCAACCCTGTTTAGGGTGAATGTCGACTGAATTGACTTCCGAATTTACATTTTTGAATTAGTAATTTGTTTAGGTAAAGTGCAACAATCGGCCTTGCGGTTTGTCAGCCTTTTCGAGAGTCCCGCTGTTCCTACGGTCCCTTGCGAACTCCTGTGGAAAGCAGTTCTTTGAGTGTGAAGCTGTGCTGAACATTCAGAAACCTCTCTTTTTTCGCATCAACTTTTGCAGTCACATTGCATCATTACATGACACAGGAACCAGGCAGGCACACGACTTTCAGGTGTGGTCTTTTTCCTTTTGATGGTTGTCTGGTGAGGTGAAACATGTTGTGCACCTAATTCGTTGGAACTTGAAAGCCGTTTATGCCAATTGGGGCAAGACTTGACCACGGTCCCAGAAAGGGAATAACGCACGACTTTTAGGTAGTTAGGAACTGAGTCCTGTCTTTAATTAATTGTTTTGGTTTTCTTGTCTGTCATCACCTAGTTCCCCATTTGGTCCCTAATTTTCCCCGCGTGCCTCTCCGTAATGTGTCGTGGGGTTTAGGTGTGTGCGCTGTTTTGGTCAGGTCCGTTTCGCCGTGTAGGTTGGTTCTGGAGGTCCGTTTGTTCCCCTCCCCCCTGCTCTGTTCTGGCCTTCTGCCCGTCGTCTGTGTTCGCTTTTTTCTTCCTCTTGCCTTTCAGGGTTGACCCGGCTCCGGCCGGATGTGTGTGTGTGTGTAACATCTGAATAGATGTAAAACTTCTTCTCTCTCTTTTTCTTCCTTTGTCCTCTCCCTTTCTAATTTTAAACTAAATTTAATGCAGGGGGCCACCGGGGTCCCGGGGGGGTCGGTGGCCACCGAAGACACCCCCCCGGGACCCGTGTAAACGTACCTGCATTATTCGTAGGATGCATCGTTAATTTCATTGTTTCGTATCTAATCTGCATGTTTCAGGATTCAGTTCCTGGCGGATCATATAATGATCCATTCTTGTCTAGTGTGATTTCCATGGTGGCTCCGACATGGTGCCATGGAGCCATTTGAGGCAACCCTTGTCAGGGTGAGTGTTGACCGTCTTGAATTCTGAATTCACACATTTTAATTTAGTAATTCGTTTAAGTAAAGTGGAACAGCCTGCCTTGCGTTTTATCAGCCTTTTCGAGAGTCCCGCCGTCCCTGTGGTCCTTTGTGAACCTAGTGAAATGCTTCTCTGCAGAGTGAAGTTGTGTGAACATGCAGAAACTTCCTTTTCTCGCACACTGCAGCTTCAGCTGACCAACATGACAGCATGACAGTGACCAGGCAGGCACACGACTTGCAGGTATGGTTTTCTTCTCTTTTTGGTTTTCTGGTGAGGTTCAACATATTGTGCACTTAATTCGCTGGAACTTGAAAGCCGTTTTATGCCCTCGTGGCTGACTGGAACACGGGCCTGTTGTGGCACAATCGCACGAACAGTAGGTCTAGGAACTGGGTCCTGTTTTTTAATTAATTGTTTTGGTTTTTGTCTGGCATCAACTAGTTCCCCATTGGTCCCTAATCTTTCCCCGCGTGCCTCTCCGTAACGTGTTGTTGGGTTTAGGTGTGTGCGCTGTTTTTGTCAGGTCCGTTTCGCCGTGTAGGTTGGTTCTGGAGGTCCGTCTGTTCCCCTCCCCCCCCTGCGCTGTTTTGGCCGTCTGCCCGTCGTGTGTCCGCTTTTTTCTTCCTCTTGCCTTTCAGGGTTGTCCCGGCTCCGGCCGGGTGTGTGTGTGTGTAACATCTGAATAGATGTAAAACTTCTTCTCTCTCTTTTTCTTCCTTTGTCCTCTCCCTTTCTAATTTTAAATTAAATTTAATGCAGGGGGCCACCGGGGTCCCGGGGGGGTCGGTGGCCACCGAAGACACCCCCCCGGGACCCGTGTAAACGTACCTGCATTATTCGTAGGATGCATCGTTAATTTCATTGTTTCGTATCTAATCTGCATGTTTCAGGATTCAGTTCCTGCCGGATCATATAATGATCCATTCTTGTCTAGTGTGTGTGTAACATCTAAATAGATGTAAAACTTCTCTCTTTTTCTTCCTTCTGTCCTCTCCCTTTCTAATCTAAATACTAATGCAGGGGGTGCCAGGGATGCACACTGGACTGGCACCAACGAAGACGCCAGTGTGTCATCTGTGATATCGATGGGGACGCTCATCGACGTACCTGCTTTTTTTTGCATGTTACAGGATTCAGTTCCTGCCGGATCACTACAATGATCAATTCTTATCTAGTGTGAGTCCTATGGTGACTCCGACATGGTGCCATAGGGCCAATTGAGGCAACCCTGTTTAGGGTGAATGTCGACTGAATTGACTTCCGAATTTACATTTTTGAATTAGTAATTTGTTTAGGTAAAGTGCAACAATCGGCCTTGCGGTTTGTCAGCCTTTTCGAGAGTCCCGCTGTTCCTGCGGTCCCTTGCGAACTCCTGTGGAAAGCAGTTCTTTGAGTGTGAAGCTGTGCTGAACATTCAGAAACCTCTCTTTTTTCGCATCAACTTTTGCAGTCACATTGCATCATTACATGACACAGGAACCAGGCAGGCACACGACTTTCAGGTGTGGTCTTTTTCCTTTTGATGGTTGTCTGGTGAGGTGAAACATGTTGTGCACCTAATTCGTTGGAACTTGAAAGCCGTTTATGCCAATTGGGGCAAGACTTGACCACGGTCCCAGAAAGGGAATAACGCACGACTTTTAGGTAGTTAGGAACTGAGTCCTGTCTTTAATTAATTGTTTTGGTTTTCTTGTCTGTCATCACCTAGTTCCCCATTTGGTCCCTAATTTTCCCCGCGTGCCTCTCCGTAATGTGTCGTGGGGTTTAGGTGTGTGCGCTGTTTTGGTCAGGTCCTTTTCGCCGTGTAGGTTGGTTCTGGAGGTCCGTTTGTTCCCCTCCCCCCTGCTCTGTTCTGGCCTTCTGCCCGTCGTCTGTGTTCGCTTTTTTCTTCCTCTTGCCTTTCAGGGTTGACCCGGCTCCGGCCGGGTGTGTGTGTGTGTAACATCTAAATAGATGTAAAACTTCTCTCTTTTTCTTCCTTCTGTCCTCTCCCTTTCTAATCTAAATACTAATGCAGGGGGTGCCAGGGATGCACACTGGACTGGCACCAACGAAGACGCCAGTGTGTCGTCTGTGATATCGATGGGGACGCTCATCGACGTACCTGCTTTTTTGGCATGTTACAGGATTCAGTTCCTGCCGGATCACTACAATGATCCATTCTTATCTAGTGTGTGTGTGGTGTCGAACTTGGACTTGGGCGATTCGCATCCCAAAACCAGTGTTAGTGGGAGACCTACATCGGTTCGAAACGAAGCCGTAGACCTTCCCTGGCTTTTCAGTGCGAAGTTAAAGGTAGGAGGCAGGGCGCGCAAGAGCGCTGCAGGGATTTTTTTGGAGTGGGCGACGTGGTTTGGGAAGGTGCTGGAAGACCGAGAGATACCGAGAGGCAGAGAAACATGCTCGGGAAAAATACACACGCGCCATGCAACCACCTCTGGACGGGGACTCCATGGGACTCGCTGCGTACAGCCTCAAACGACCAAAGTGGCCACAGTACACCACACTTGGTGTTATAGGGCATTTACGATGGCAAAAACATGTGCACCTTTGAATACAAGGCTTAAAGGCTGGTGGTGTTTGGGGTTCGGGCAGAATCGATCAACAAAGGTTCGTCCTCATCTTCAAAGTTTCTTGAACATCAGAGATCTAACGTCGTAACTGCGCGCACACCGTTTGCACATGGCTTTCTAACACTTAGAGACTGTGCATTGCCAAAGAGGGTGTCATTATTAGATTCACTGGTCTTCGAGGAATGGTTGCGGAATCAACCCGAAGGATGATGCGATCTACTGCGTCACTGCGGACGGCGACCGCCAGTTCGTGCGGGTTCAGTGCAATTTTACCAACTGGACTATCGGTGACGTACCGGTTGCCGGACAGTTGTGCTACTTTGGAAAGACGGATGGCGCCTGGGCAGCCATATGAACGTCAATGCGGAAAGAATGAAGAAAGCGTTGAGGGTGAGGCCTCTATAGGTTTGATGTCAGGTACCTCTCCCCTTCTTCGTTTCATGTCGTTTCACGTTGGACCAATGCCAGTGGGCTTGCAAGCTTTGCAACATCATGCCATGCCAGTGCAGCTGGACACCAAAATGCAGAAACAAAAGTTGTAGCGGGACGGGGGGGAAGAAAAGACAAAGGAGGTGGTGGAGGATCGAGAAGTTGAAAAAGTTGTATGTGAAGAGTTGTGTGTGATGTGTCAAAGATGTGTGTGACACAATTATGTGTGTGAAAGTTGTGTGTGTGTGTGTGGAACATCTGATCAGATGTAAAACTTCTACTTTTCGTTTTTCCCCACATTGACGTGTGGGGTTTTTGTTTTTAGTTCTGTATCCGCGCCTCCTCCTCCTTCCCGTCCTCCTCCTCCTCCACACTCACTCACTCACTCACTCACTCACTCACTCATTCACTCACTCACTCACACACACACACTCACATCACTCACATCACTCACATCACTCACATCACTCACATCACTCACATCACTCACATCACTCACATCACTCACATCACTCACATCACTCACATCACTCACATCACTCACATCACTCACATCACTCACTCAGCACTCACAGCTCACTCACTCACTCAGCACATCACATCTCTCACATCACTCACATCACTCACATCACACACATCACATCACATCAGTCACTCACTCACTCACTCACTCACTCACTCACTCACTCAATCACTCACTCACTCACTCACTCACTCACTCACTCACTCACTCACTCACTCACTCACTCACTCACTCACTCACTCACTCACTCACTCACCTGTGCATGCGCATACATACACACATACACAAAAACTCACTCACCATCACCCCTCCATCACTCTTATACTTCCTCTTCCCTTCTTGCTTTTCTATGCTCAGCCTAAGTCTAGAGAAGTTGGTAACATGTGGGGTTATCCGGTCCTATAATTTTGAGAAGCAGGGGGGCACAGAAGGCCCATAGAGCTGTGCCCAACGAAGCTCTCTATGGTGTCCTTAGGAGATCCAGGCTGATCACCTGGACGTACCTGCATCAGTCTTCCTCCAACAGTTTCGATGTCAACCTTTTTTCCGAAAGGGCGACCGGCTAAGCCAAGAACCGAACAGAAGATTTTATGAGGTTTCTGCACGTCCACAATCTGTTTACTGGGATATTCACGTCGCTTCGCGACGGCAACCGCCCGCACCGCATCGTTGGGCTCACACAGCAGGGGCATGATTCAGGGGCGGAGCGGAAAGTGGAGCGGAGGAGTTGAGGCGCGAAGAGCGTTGTTGAGTGATGGGTTATCTGATTGTCGGAAAAAAAACGCGAAGAATTTGATAGCCATGTATAGCGGACCAACGCAATTCAAAAAATAACGAAAAACATGAAAAAACGGCGAAATTGCTGTTATTTACAGTGTTTTTGCGCGGTGAGAAGCAGAAACCACTGCAAATACCATGGTTTTTGAGGGTCAGGTGGCCAAAAACACTGTAATTTACAGTGTTTTTTTAACCAACGTCAAAAAACACTGGTATTTACGATGTTTTCATTCACACCGTAACATAAAACAGCGTAATTTACGAGGTTTTTGGAAGTTTTGAAGCTAGCCGTCAAGCATGCAGAAAACAGAAAAACACTGTAAAAACCAATGTTTCTGCTATCACAAAACGACGAAAATCAGTCCGAAAACGGGTCCAAAAACTCAAAAATCCGCCTCCGGGCCAGGCCACCTGCGGAACCGCAAAAAAAGATGTTGCAAACCAAAAAATTGAGGTCAAAAAGTTGAAAAACACAGGGTTTTTTCACTTTTCGCTTGCCGATTTTGGACGGGCGCGTTCACGAACAGGTGTCTTCCGTACTGTTTTTTACAGTGTTTTTTGAAGGCGAGCGTCACGACCTATCAAAAACAGGAGGTTTTGGCCGAAAAATGCCCCCCCCCCCAGGTAAACCTGTAACCTTTTACGAGTGCCATCCGGAAGATCACGCCCCAGCACCTTCGGTGCGGGCGGATTTCATCCAGATCTGGTCGTGATCTTATTTATCAATTGTATTCACTTGTGGGGTCTATTTGAACCAGTTTCTGATCGTGATCGACTTTATCGGAATTCCTTCATATTAATTACATACAGCTTCGAGGAGCTCTACCTTAGGTCCCTTATCTTGTCTACTTGCGCGTTATGGGATTCAGTTCCCGGCGGATCACTCCAACGATCCAGTTCTTTTCTAGTGTGATTTCCATGGTGGCTCCGGCATGGTGCCATGGACCCATTTGAGGGAACCTTTCTTAAGGCGAAGGTGGACCGACTTGACGTCTGAATTTACACATTTTAATTTAGTAATTTGCCTCAGTATTGTGAAACAGTTGGCCTTGCCGTTCATCAGCCTTTTTGTCCTGCCGACCCTGCTGTCCCTGCGATACCTCGGTACATTGACCTTTGCCCAAGCGAGACTGACAGAACAGCCAAAGCTTTTTTTCAAAGAGACAACACCAAATTGCATTTGGATGGTTGTTTACATATTTCGAGGCATCAGGCATGTCCTCTTCCTGCAGGTATGGTCTTCTTGGTTTCTGGTGAGGTTGAACATATCGTGCACCTAATTCATTTGAACTTGAACAGCTGTTTAGTGCCCACTTGTGGGTTGACCGACTACCATCCCTTCGGGGGAATAACGCGCCACTCTTTAGGTTTGAGCTGAATCCCATTTGATTGTGCAATGTTGTTACATTTTGATCGCGTTTGCCATTTGCCTTCGTCCAACCATGTGGTCCTGGTCTACTGCGCCCCCGTCCTGGCCGGCACCTCCGACGTCGAGCCCTACGGCACCAACGACTACATCACCGTCGCCCTGGAGTACTCCGCAGATCTTCCCACCGCACAACCCACTGGCCCGCTATACCTTCAACGACAATGCCATCAACGCCTAGGGCTACCATTTCTCACGGCCCACCTGAACAGACTTTTGGACAGCCTACCGACCTGCATCTCTACTGGATGAACCGATAACACCAACCTTTCCTCCTCCGACACCGGCACAGCCACATCCTGTATCTGTTCTAACACACCCACTGACACCGCAACCTCCTCAGCCTTCTCAGGACCTATAGACCCACATGCCACCCAACAATCCACAGACTTTGACACCTACACCTTCTTACACACCTCCACATCAAGGACTTCCAGCCGGATCTCTTCCATGTGTCCAACCTGGTGTAGGCACAGGCATTCTTCATCAAGCTCCACCTCAACCTACGACGTCTACGCCACCAACATCCAATGTCACTCCACAACAGGCACAACCAGCGAGACCAAAACCTGCAACAAGAAAGCCCGCTCCAGAAAAACCACCTTCATTGCGACGACCATTGATCCGAACGACCGCACCCGATTTTGAAGATCGAATGCAGCGCCAAGTCGACTCACAAATGCTGCAATCCAAAACCCAGGAAATGCTGGACAAGATCACCAAGTCGCTTCAACAGCCTACACCGTCAGTCCCAGCTCCTCAGCCCGCTCAACACTCCATCCAACCACCTATGGCCGTTCCAGGTAATCTTGAACCTTCCCGATGTCCACATCCCGCTGGTCTACATGTATACCACCTCACCTACGTCGTCCCGCTTCACCACCACCGCCTTCGCGATCCCGACCACGACGATCTCGCCGATGATCCAGGACCCGCTCACGTTCACCTTCAAGTCCTTGATCTCACCGACATCCACGGCCCCGAACCTCTACTTCGGCAACGTTCCAAGCCTCACCATCCCAAAGAACGTCGCACCCCATCTCCCATGGCCGTCGCCGATCACCTCCTCATGATTCCCCACATCCTCGTGACCGCCATGACGGAGCGCCGATCAAGAGCAGCCGTTCTCGACACCGCCAGGAAATTTCCCTTCGGCCTCAGCTCCACCCCAGAACACTCAAAATCAACCATCCAATATCAATAAAATCTGGGGAACATGGCGCCCAACCCGACCGGTGTCACCTCGACAAGGTCCTAATTCACCACCACCGGCACCTCCTGGGCCAAGTCTCAGAACGCATCCCTGGAGGATCGACAGACGAAAGCGGCAACCCAAAACAACTGACAGACTGGGCAATCGTGAATTGCACCAATGGACTCTACGGGATCGGAAAGGGCCAGCTTCCGGCAGGCTCAATTGCCACCTGTCGCACTCCGAAGAATACCACGCACTTGGCAGGGGGCAATGATCAGCTGCAACGGGGTTGCCGGGGAGGAATCGCAAAAGGACGGGACGGTGCTACTGCTATCAATTCCTCTTGCGCTACGGTGGCTTTTGTTGCTGGAACTCATCAGGCTGCTGCAAGGCTGCCACTTATATGATTACACTCGCCCGATCCTCCTCCAAGCAGTCTCAGCAGAGCTATACACTGACGACACCCATTGCAAACGACGCTGATCTTTCTCTTGATCTACCTGTGCTATATTGGATTGGTTTGGACATCTCTTCGCACCTGTTTTGGAGTAACTAATTTAATGCTTCTCCCGCCTGGTGAGGCTACCGCTTCGCGCATCTTCCGCGAAAACAATGGCTTACAGAGTTTGTTTTTGTTGCGTCATCATTCATACAGTTGAGCCGACAGATATGGCAAGGGGCTAAGCAAAGGACCCCACTATGTCAATTCCATTCTTTTTCTTACTCTTACTGGTATTCTTTTCAGAGCATGACGACTGATGGCTGGGGCTAAGCCAAGCACCCCTTTACCGCTACAGACGTCCGTAACGTATATTGGCTCCGTGATTTTGAATGCTATCATTTCCGCGCTGACCACCTACATCGTGGCGTCCCAAGACTAGATCTCGCAGTTCTCGCAGGTGATTCCGCCACCTCAGCCGGATCGATCCATCTCTCGAACCTCAAGACGTGATCCTATAGTGATTGGCCAGCTTCTTCAATGCCAACATTTCGAGGACCTATCCACCACGGCGCGGCTACATCACGACCGATGTGGAGTATACATCCCCGATGTGGCCTATGCATCAACATCCACATGGCTTCCAACCCTACAGCACTGGTGCACAACCATCGATGAGTTCCACACAGTATCCCTTCCTGCCTCAACCGCCTTTACATCCTCCACCTTCACCCCCAGGCTGTCCCACTACACCGCACCGCTACTGCACTACCACTCCGAAATCACCTTCTGGCCTCTCACCACCTCACATCTCCGGTAAGTCGTGGATACGCCATCACGCCTTGTGAAATTCCGAAGCATGGAAACCAGATCCTGAGTTTCACGGTACCGGCAAGGTCAATGGCGTGGACTTCCCCTCAACCGTCCGATCGAGCAAGTTCACCCAGTGCAAAGACATTGAGGGCATGGACTCGCTCCAGGTTCCTCTATGGAAATTCTTATGCCAGGACTTGCACAACAATTGGCTCCGAGGAATTGCTCACGGCCGGAAAGAGGCCACTCAGCAGATGGCGAAGGACATAGCCCAACGCATTCAATCCTCGCTTCCCACTACATCGGCAACTGACCCTACCAGTCAACAACGAATCTTGGAATTGGAGACGGAACCGGTCAAGGCTACTCAGGGTGATACCTCCTCACCCCCAGACCCACCAGGTACTTCCAACAGCGTTGGCATGACTCCAATCCAACGAGCACTAATTACACGGAAATTCATCCTCCGCGCCCTCGTTCGACCCGGCAGTCCTCTTGGTCACCCCCGGCACGGTCAATTGCATGGCTTGAAGAAAACCAACCTCCTTCTCTGTCGGACACAAGCTACAAAGATTGCGTGAAGGAGCTCAAACTCCCTCAGCACAAAGCTGAAACCTTGGAGAAGAACATCGAGAAGGTGATGCTAATGGTGGCCGAACCAACCTGACACAGTATCGAGGACTGTTCAACGAGTCAGAGTAGCGATGGGCCTGGATCCTCAGAAGTTGAAGTCATCCACTACGGACGAGTTGGTCACCAAGGTCATGACGGTTGCGTTGACAGTGAGCTCGTGACTGGCTTCCTTTTTGAGATCCAAAGGCTCCACAGCCAAACAGTTTTTGAAGGATCTCAGCGTTGCGCATTCGTGTATTCTGAGCCTGGCTCTGCTGACTCCGTTTACACTCTCTCCGAGTATTCAACTTTTTTACGGTTGCCGCATGATTCAAAGAATTCCCATGGGTCAGTGTGTTCTTCTTCACCTTTTAGCGGCAATGCCAAACTTCGGGCCCTCCTTCAAGGAAGATCTTTCATCGATTATTTCTGTGTGTTTCGTGGACTGATCTGTTTTCCCTTGTTTCGTGCTTTCGTGATGATCAAGCTGTTTACATCAGGTTCTCTCATATTCAGAACTTTCAACACAATTTTTACATTGGGTCAACTTCATCTTTTGTACTGGACCGAGAGCAGTCCCGGTACCAAAAGCTCCTCCAAGTGCAACAGAACAAATTCGCTTTGGCCGAAGTCGCCTTACCCTTCTGGAACCGACCCGATAATTTCTGGATTTGGTCCACCCTCCTGCTATACACCGGCAAATCCAACATTTGGGCCTTGGAAGAGGCCTTAATTCAGTTATGGCAACCTCGGCTCAATACTCCGTTCTTTATCGATTCTTCAACTGCCAAAAAGGCATCATCAACCGCACTCCGTTTTCGACTTCAAGGCAGTTTGGTGCTTTCTCTCCCTGTGGCGCAAACTACGTTGGACCTCCACGCCAAGACGCATTCGACAAGCTCTGCGCAGCTGTGCATTTCACAACCGGGTAGATCTCTGGGCAATCATTCAGGATTTGAGTTCAAGCTCCATTCGCCGATTCCAAATGGAGAAGAAGATCCGCTCCAACGCCATTGGCATTCAGGGCTGCTACTTTCTACGCCGCCTTGCCATAAAAATCTGGGGGAACCGCAAAGATCCTATGCACTGAATGCCATCGACAGAGCCGTCAAGTTTTGGAAATTTAACAAGTTCGTCGTCCAGTACCTCTTCGAGCTCCGTGGCTTCTGACTCCGGCTTGGCGAAAAGACTTGAACAAGATCATCACCTCGCATGTGGCCCAGATGCGACCCCACAACATTTCACGTCAACCACCATCCACCAACATCGTCTTCACCAAGTACCCGTCGGTTATGGACAGCGATTGAAACCACAACAAAAAGGCCACTCGTTGGGCAGACTCTGAACAACCTGAGTGCATTTGCCCCACGCTACGACCTTACTTGGCTACACCACCCACACAGACCAACCACATCGCCCCCGATGATGATACTTTGGATTTTGACGACAAACCCTTGACCTCGATTGCCAACGGCTCGTTGCAGAACAAGATCTTTCCACTGCAGAAAGAGATCTTCAACATGTTGAAGGAGGCCTTCGAGAATTGGCACCGAAAAAACTCCATGCCGTCGGTTCCCTCCAGCGATATTCCCCATCTGTGGGATGATTGTTGGCCACAGCATTGCAATCAACTTCACAACCACGTTAATTACCCATCGTGACATCACCAAGTTCTGCAAGATCTTCCCTGGCGCTGTGTTCCACAACGAAGACAAACGAGCGACGTCCCGCCAGATCTACTGCCCCTGCTTATACTTTCAGTGACTGACATCAACATTTTCCGACCCGGCTATATTTCGCAGATTAACTACGTCCCCCATAGACACCATCAACCTCACCATCGAGAAGATCAAGTGACGCTTTTTGAAGAAATACCCGTGGGCTATGGGATCTGGCCGCGATCTCCCCAATGCCTACGTCCTGCCGAAACGGAAGAAACAATTCATCAGGCCGACCAATCGTCAGCTTCTTCACCTCACCTTTCCGACCCATGCTCAATTGCATCGCAAAACTTTTATACCAACTCATCCCAGCCGCCTTCCCTCACAACTTGGCTCAAGGTGATGTTTTCGACCTCATCAAACAGCTGCAAGACATTGACTTCGACACCATCAACTTCCCAAGATTTACAACCAAGACCTGGCAGGTTTTTTCACCAGCATAGGCACCAAAAGGTTCATCGACAGTTGGCACCTCATGCTCCAGTACCTAACATCTACCATGACATCCGGGCGAGATCATCTCAGTCCACCCACTACTGGAAACCACGGAGATGCTGTCAAACTGCCGCACTTTGAACGTCACTCGCAAAATTTACATCAAAGACGTGAAACCCATTATCCTCATGCCCCTGCAGATGACTCAGTTCTCTATTGGGGCTCCCCACTGAGCCCTGCCCTATGGCTCATGGTCGTCGCACTTTCTGAAGAGGTCTGGCATCGTACTTTCCAGACTACTTTGTCGACAATGGGCTTGACTTCGCGACTCCTTCGCTATGTAGACGGCAGACTGTGCCTGGTCGACCCGCATTGGTTGGATGATCCCGCTTTCGCGACCTTTCTCCACCCGGAGTTCTACGGTGCCCCCCATCATTTTGGAGACTGAAACGGTCGAGTTCCTGCGTTTCTGCATTGAGGCCGAGCCCTTCGCACTCCGATATTCTCCACCCCAAGACTTCAAGTGATGGCCTTTTTCTGCCTCGCCGCTGCCTGTACAGTTGTCGAGTTTCGTTTCCCGATTTTTCTTGTTGCGAAATGCGCATTTCCGAACGATGAGAAGCTCCGGGGGTTTTGCCGCCTTGCACCGTTTGTATACAGTTCCGCCGGATTTCAAGAAGACGGCTTGAGATCAGCTGCAAAGCCAATCCATCAGTACATGCACCTTAAATCCAAAAAAGATACCTGCGGCAAGTTTTCCCTGTCTCGACCGGTGATTCCTGTCTTGATTGCCACGACGATTTGGTGACCGATCCTTCGCTTATTGGCTGCGTATATTTTGCCCCATCTTCATACCGATCTCCCATGGCGTCCAGCTCTACACCTTCTACACCCATACAAGACCCGGTCTTTCACCAATTCCTTCACTGGCACATGGCAACCTCTATATATCTTCGTTTCGCGTGGCAGGCGCGGCACTTGGCGACATCTACCTTGGTTTTGCGTGGCAGGTGTGGCGCTTGGTGGCAACTACCTTCGTTTTGCGTGGCAGGCGTGGCACTTATGGCATTGGGCTGGCTCTGGTGGCGCGCTTGGGCGCGCTTGCTCGCCGGTGACGCCGGTCAAGTTTGCATGGCAGGCGTGGCACTTGGCGACATCTATCTTCGTTACGTGGCAGGCGTGGCACTTGGTGACAACTACCTTCGTTTGGCAGGCGTGGCGTGGCGCTTTGTGACATCTATTCTCGTTCTGCGTGGCAGGCGTTGCACTTCTGGCACTGGGCTGGCTCGGCGTGGTATTTGGTATTAATAATTTTGGTAGGCTTGGCACTTGATGACAACTACGTTCGTTTTGCGTGGCAGGCATGGCGACTCCGCTCCACGAGCCATTATACAACAGTTTCTACATGACGTGCACCACGCTTATCTTCTTCTCCATCGAGCCATGTCCCCGCTACCTCCTACGATGATTCCGAACATCGAGCCAATGCCATTGCCAAGTACGGGAGCCTGGGACCAACCTGAAGGATTTCTACCTCTCCAGGAATATTCCGAAGAGACCAATGCCTTTATTGAGGCAGTCTAGTTACCACCTCCAGACCTTTCGGAGGAAGAGTCATTGATGCAAGACTTCATTCACCACAATCTTCCTCAACCTCGTCACCATCTTGCTGCCCCGGTTCCAGATTCAGTTCCGGCGCCCTCGAAGCTTTCTCCAAGCACATTGGCATCACCAGCCACACCAAAAAAACGAACCGCCAAAGCTGTGCCAAAAGTGCCTGCGAAACGCCGAAAGTGCAGATCTACATCGCCCAAGATTTCACCGCCCAGCCCTACCATTTGGACTGAGGAAGACAAGAAACTTCTTCGCAAATTGAAGATGGATGAGAAAGCACGTTATGGATGGAAAGTCATCGCCGGCAAATTGGGCAATCCTGAACCGGACATTAAGATCATGTGGAACCACATCAAGAATCGCATGGGTTAAATCGTCTTCACCCTAGTATTTCGATGATCGACCCTCATGGCAGAAAAAAGGATCTTTGTTTACCCTTCCCATAAACTTCAGTGACCGAATGTGGTGCAATCGCATTTTCCTCGGACAAGTTAGGTCTTCTACCTCTTCAATCTCTTGTGTCTCGAACCTTCTATTGATCCACTTGTTCATTTGCGTTTCTCACAGCAGTATTCCTTGTATTTCTTGCCAGTTCAGATTTATCATGTCGCTCCGCTCTCACTTGGATCGCTATTGTATGAGCCGAGCCATGGCAGCCGATCCTATTTCGACGGCAACTCGCTCCCGTTCACCTCATGCTGATCGGCAGGCTACTTCATCTCGCCCATCGCCATTTTGTCGCCCACCTGGCTGGCAACGACCTCTTCCTCAAGTTCATCGACCAGTCATCCTGCAGATTGATTTGAAGCCCATGCGGCAATTGGCCATCCGAGATTCCTATTACAACATCCTAGCTCCTCAAGTTATTGGCAACCTTTCGGCTTCCGAATGCGATGGTCCTTTTCAGATCTACAAGGTTACAAGGTCATCTACCCGGACCACGCCTCCCGACACCATATTGGAGAACTTGAAACATTGGTCATGGATACCTTCACTCAACGCTGGGCCATTTCCCTCAATACCACTGATTTCTTCCTTGCCATCGAAACTACACAAGGACACCAATTCCTCAATCAACCAAACCATAGTATCTTGGGTGTCCTCAACTGGCACTTCCCCTATTGGAAAACCCACCAACATTGTTGTGCTCACCCAGCCCGAGGTTCTGAAGCTCCTCACCCTGACGCTTCCGATACTGGTGTGGGCATTCGTATTCAGAGTATTCCTCGTGGACATCCGTTCTTTTCCCACAATGCTGTGATGATGACTGACCCTCAAGAATGACATTGTCTTGGAGACTCTTCCGCGGTGGAAAACGATAAACAATGAAAAAAGTGTTGCTCCCTTGGTCTTCTTTTCATTCCCCCTTGGCTGAATTTTGTTATTACCTTAGTATCGCTGGATATTCTACTGTCATTTCATTGACCATGGCGAAATTCGTTCAACATCCTTCGCGGGGTTCTGTTATTGAAATTCCGCTCCTTCTTTCTTGCGATCTGCAGTGATTTATAGGCTCCATATTGACTGTCATCTGTGGCCCTCGCATTTGATCTGCCCTTGATGGCTCAACCACCGTACTTCCCGGACGACTACGGCAACTCACGTCGAGAATTTCATCGTGATGTTCCCCTATGACTCGATGAATCATCTTCATGAAGATTCAGCATCCTTGACTTACATTCCAAGGGCCACTCGAGCAGCCCCCCAGGCTCACACAGTCCATACGATCTACGTCGAAAAGGTATCTCACCCATTATTTTCCATTGGAACTCAATTCCGATGGCCTCGAGACCTGGCGCCCCATTGAATCCTTCTTGGGCACCTGGAACATCCTGAACATTCGAATGTCCGTTTTGGCCAACCTGTTTCTACGATTCCGGATCACACTTCGATCCTTCAGGCATGCTGGGGTCGTTCTGCTCATCGACATTCTCAAGGTGCCCCAGCATCCTTATTCTGGCCGCCAACGCGCAACACACCCCCAGCACCACCTACGAGATCAACCTTATGGAATCAGACAGCTTCCCCGTCAGTTTCGGCTACTACCACCTCACCTCAGCCTATGCCTTCTCCTTCCGTGGTGAGCAGCAATGCCGATATGTCCGACTCCAGCGTATAATCCTCGTGATGCCTTCGATCGGAAAATTGATCATGCTGACCTCATTTGAAACACGTCCCTTAGTGCTTGTTTATCCCATATTCAAGTTTCTTTTTGTTCCGCAGACATTTGGTCCTTGACGCTTCGTTGCCCTTCGACCTTTACTCCGCACAATGGCTCCGAAAGGATTTCGACATCATCCATATCGTTCTACTAGTGATATAGAAACTCCGACTGGTACTCGCTCTTGCTCTTGGTTTGCAGGACCCGGATGTCAACCTGCTGGTGAAGATCCTCCTCCAAACAGACCCATTTTGATCATTGTGGATTACTCGCCACTCCAAGAGTTGTCACATGCCAGTGAAACCAATTCGGCATCATTTCGCGCACTTCGCCCAGGCAATTTTTGCATCGCCTCGACTCGAGAACAAGAAGCTCTTTTCACCTGGTCTCAGCAATTTTCAGCTGAGATGGCTTCAGCAGTTCCTATTGCCAATCTCCGGACACAGATTTGCAACCGTCTGTGGAATCAATGGGACATCCGTATGATCCATTCCGACCTTGGAACTTCGCTATGCCGATCTTGATGGGAATGTCTTTCAAGTCCGCAATGAGTCCACAATCATGCGCTTGTTGGAGGAGTACCGACCTCAGTGGCGTATCAAGCAGTATAATTTCTTACATAGTTCTCCGTTGATTCCAGGTACACCACAGCCCTTCATTTACGATTGACTTGTCATAAAGTTCGCCAAGGTGTGATGTTGCCATGATCACTTTGAACATTGCAAAGTTTTTGAAGAGATTACTCGACGCTTCGGAAAATCACCTGTTGAATGGCCTATAGGGCTAAGCCGACAACCCTGCGCTTTGATATCAATCATGCTAATTGAAGCTACAAGCTCCGTCCACATGTGTTCATGGCAAGGGCTAAGCCTAGGACCCCATAGTGTTGTTTGTGACACTGTTCGAGATGAGTGCTTTTACATGACTTCTTCTTCGGACTTTTCAACATGCCTTTCCACAAGATGTTCTTATTACCCAAAATTTTGGATCAAAGCTGATCTGTACACTACCGTGATCTTTTTCCCATATTCTTTGCCCATCGTGGACAACAAAAGAGATGCTACCAACGCGGGCCTCCCCTGGCCCAACACGTCAACGCGACAAAATCTTGGTGGACCCATCCGGCCTGGAACTACGTCATCATCAACGAGTTCGGCTCCCGCACCTTCGCCAACGACTACGGCCCCAGCAGCATCTTCCTCAACACCTGATACCACTGACACAGCCACTTACACAACCGATCCTTCAGCTCATGGGGCAACACCTTTTCCTCATACCGAAAACTCGTGGGAACATCGCAGGCCTCCAAGCTTCGTTACCTGTTCACCAAGTGTCCTTCAAGGTCTTTACCTTCGACCACGATCGAAGGGAACTATGGATCAATCATCAGGGGCTACTCTCGCCTCCGGGAACCTGAGCAGTATTTCTACTTTCTAACAGGTGATGATGCATTTGCCCGTCACACATCGGACTATTAGCGTGCTTTTTTCAACATCCCCACGCAGCACTTCGCCACATTACCACGGACATCACCACGTCAACTTTCATCCAACTGCAGCAGCCCCACCATCAACTACACCATCAACCTCGGCAACCTCCGCTCCGCCCACTACTGCAACAGTGGCCGCACAACTTCAGGAACGTCTCTTTGCACCACCTGCTCCAGGATCCAATTCCACTACGGTGATTGGCGGCCTATCTCGAACGCTGACTCAGGACCAGATCTCCGCCTTGACCATTGGTTTGCAAGCCCTCGCTTCCTCGAGCCCTTCTGAGATTAGGATTTGAAACCCAGGCGCTAGCACGATCTTCCGGAAAAACAACCCTGCTTCGGCAGGGTGTGTGTGTGTCTGTGTGTGTGTGTATCGTCTCGTCTGAATAGACGTAAAACTTCTTATACTTTATATATCTATATGCGGGGGGTCACCGGGGTCCCTGGGAGGTCGGTGACCAACGAAGACACCTCCCGGGGACCCGTGTAAACGTACCCGCGGGACTGTGGTGACGCACCTGGGCGCAATTGTAAGACGCAGCTGGTGGTCACCATAGTCCCATATATATATATATTTCATCCATATCTAAGTAACTAATCTAATCTGCATGTTACAGGACTCAGTTCCTGCCGGATCATATAATGATCCATTTTTGTCTAGTGTGATTTCCATGGTGGCTCCGACATGGTGCCATGGAGCCATTGGAGGCAACCCTTTTCAGGGTGAATGATGACTGTCCTGACTTCCGAATTAACACATTTTAATTTGGTAATTCATCTAAGTGAATTGCAACAGTTGGCCTTTCCGTTTTGCACCTTTTTGTGAAGTCCCGCGTTTCCGGTTGTCCTTTATGAACCCAGTGGAATGCATCTCTATTGAGTGAAGCCATTCCGAACTGCCAGAAACCTCCGTTTTTGCAGCAACCTTTGCAGTTACACGACATCATGTCAAGTCATTGTGAAAAGGCAGGCACATGTCCTTCAGGTGTGGTCTGTTTCTTTTTGGTTGTCTGGTGAGGTCAAACATATCGTGCATCTAATTCGTTGGAACTTGAAAGCTGTTTTATGCCCTTGTGGCTGACTTGAACACGGGCCTGGATTGGCACAACGCACGACTTCTAGGTTTAGGAACTGAATCCTGTTTGTTGTTTGGTTTTGTTTTCACCAACTAGTTCCCCATTGGTCCCCTATCTCATGCTTTCTTCCCTCCCCAGGTAGGTTGGCTCCGTTGCGTGCTGAGGTTTTTGTAGGTTTTCGCTGTGTCAGGTTGGTTCAGGCGCTTCCGTCTTCCCCCCCTCCGTTGGTCTTGGTCCGTGTCCGTCGACCCTCCGCTTTTTCTTTTCCCTTGCCTTTTCAGGGTTCGCCCGTTCCGGGCTAGGTGTGTTGGTGTGTGTTTTCTCCTTCCCTCTTCTTTTGCGTTCCCCTCTTCGCGTCCTGGTTAAGTAACTTTCATCTCATTTTCACTCTCATCTCATCTTTCATCCCCTGTTCATCCTCATCTTCATCTCATGTTTACGCGCACCACCCTGCCGGAGGCAGGGTGTGTGTGTGTGTGTATCGTCTGAATAGACGTAAAACTTCTTATACTTTATATATCTATATGCGGGGGGTCACCGGGGTCCCTGGGAGGTCGGTGACCAACGAGGACACCTCCCGGGGACCCGTGTAAACGTACCCGCGGGACTGTGGTGACGCACCTGGGCGCAATTGTAAGACGCAGCTGGTGGTCACCATAGTCCCATATATAT